AGCCTTCAAAGGTTCTTTGAAAATGTGAAGTTACACTGGCCTTCTCTGGAGATTTTAACTGACGTAGATCAAATACATCTCAATTGTCACTGGATCCCAATTTGTGCTGTTTCTTTAGAAATACCTGGCTTAAGACTAATGACAGTAAGACCAGTAGGATCTTTCTGATAGTTTTAGCTTCAGATAGTTGAGTCAACAGTCCTCAAGCTCTAAAGCTTAATGTTAGCTGAATGGTAAAGTCCCAGCAATAGCTTGTGCTGTCCTTTACTAAACTGTACATACAGACGCAAGCTGTTGGCTTGAACAAATAGTACAGGAAACTTCCTGGCTCTTTGTGACACTTACTACATCATGGTGCCTGCGGAATCGAATGACTTCCTGGTCATCTTCAAAGCTGCTGCCCATAGCTGTCTGGGTAACAGACTTCATGGCAAAGCCCAGCATATGCTGGCAGAGTGGTACATGTTGAGCCTCAGGGAGGGAGAGCCATTTGGCTAGCAATTCTTCTGACAACTTAAGAAAGGAACCATTAATTGACAGTAATATCAATAGCCTATTTACCAAACATATCCCAAACTGAATGCATTCCCACCCTAAGTTCCTCAGATAGACCACACTTTCAAGGCCATGATGTACATCTAGACTTTCAAGGGCTTCCTTTCATTGTTAACTTGAACAGTAATATTCTGCCCTCATGGGCTCCTGCCTGAGCCCATGGTTCACCCAATGTAAGACAGCCCTGTCCATCTCCTGTTCCCTCTGTCAGAGAAAATACCTTAAACCCTTTAATCTGAGTAGCTCCATATTGAGAAAATAAGACTAGTTGCTGGACTGAGTCAATAGAACAGTTCTCCACTTGTCTGCGGTCCCAACAGCTGGTTCATTGCTCCTCCCTCCTGTCTTGTAAAATAAATCCAGAAACCATATGCTCCAGGATCTTTAATTGCATCTGATGTCTTAGCATAAAACGTCACCAAACCTAACTTTCTCTCAGCCCAGTGGAGCTTACAGGAACCAAATGCTCACAGTGCTTGAACAGGCATAAGCTGTTCTCTGTCTCCCAAACTTAAAATTCCAGTATAAATTTGAATGCAGCTTCTTTACCCTAGTAATCATTCTCATTAAACTTTCCTCTGTGAGCTACATAGGGTTTCTCCACTGGAGAAGAGGAAGTTACCTTCTGGATGAGAGCCAAGTTACTTTGCAGGGACTTTGTCACAGCACTTTCATACAGCTTTCTTCTCAGGTGGCTTTCCCCTGTATCCCCATTAAGGCTGGACTGGTACCTCAAGAAGGATTTCAACATCATCTCAAAGGGATCCGCTGAAAATAAAGAAAACATCATTCAGAAGCCTCTTTTGCACAGGCATGATGAAAACAGCCAGCTCTTCGACAGAGTGCTGCTACTTCTGGGAGGTGAACAAGGCATGGCTCCTTCATCAGGCATGGTCTCTTTGGGGTGCTAAGTTTCTCTTGCTCCACATGGATTAGGATGTCATAAAGATTCTTCCCTGCCGCAGGGTACCATCCTGTGCTCAGCTCGCCCTGTGCAGGTTGCCTCCTGGCTCCACCAAGCTGCTTTTCTCAATACTTTTCGTAAAAATGCTTTGAAAGCTCATTCCCAGCTTCCCAGTTCTAGATGGCTCTGCCACCAATTTGGTCTACCCCCCATATCTTCTGTATTCACGGTTTGCTTCATTTAGATCTTTTACTCCAAACCTCACCACCAGGGCCTCTACATTATTAATGTGGTGAAGTACATTAGGAGTCAATGCAAAATTGTGCAATTGAGCACAGCCTATGACATGCTTTCCTGTTCCTGTGAATATTTCTGTGAGTGTCACAGAACTAGTAGAATATCTAAGCAGCTATTTGAAAGCAGCACACAAAGAGTTTCAAGCAAGAGATTTTCAATGTTTATCACAGTTTTTTATTTTTCCCAGATGGAGTGAAACCTTCAAAGCATCACAAAACATCAGGGCTGGGATAGACATACATGACTACCTACTGTGGACTCTACCTAGAAGAGCCTTATTATGCTCCTGAACAAACTCCCAATGAGACAATTCCTACCTTCAGAGGACTTAGTATCACATGACAGCTAATGAAACCAGAGGCATGAATACAGTGAGCTAAATGTTCTTCTCTCACACCATTTTCCTTCCAATGTTTTAGAGCTCTGCAGCTCATCCCATTTCCCACTTCCAACAACAAGAAGTACACGCATGTGCTTTGTGGCACTGCAAATGGTACCTGCAGCTCTGCATCTGGAACAAACTGTTATGTGACTGTAGCTGCTGCTGGCAATTTCCTCTCCATAGTACTTTGCCATGGAGCAGTTTTGCTATTAATGCCACAATGCCCTACTGATGGTAAAGCCCACAAAGCAAATCTAGCAAGCAGAGCCATGTGGAGAGGCAGGAGAATGCTTAATACCATCACCTGCAGAAACTGCAATGTTCTCCTGGTAGGGATGAAGGAAACTGCTAGCTCAGCAGCAAGCTCCATATTTTCTCACCCAATCCCTAGCAAACTGGCAGTCCTACACCACTGCTATATTCACTGCTGCAAACTCAGCACTGCTTCAGCTGCCCTCTGCATAATTCTGCTCTTGTTTTACAGTGTTTGGAAAGCATCTATTTCTCTACAGAGGCAGCAGATCAGTGATCCCACAAGGGACAAACCCCTCACAGAGACAGAACTCTGTCCTGCCAAGCACTTCTACAGACTTCATACTTTGTGCTAGACTTGAAAACAACTCTAGGATTACATTTGCACTCCTCTTAGTGAAACGTATCACACTTTCAACTGTCCAGAAACACAGTTCTATGCTTTTTTTTTTTTTTTTTAATCTAGAAGTCTGGTTATCTAAGAAGCATGACCACATTTTAATGCACTCCCCACTCCACATTTTAAAATGAATATATTTAACTGCTGGCATCTACAGGAGACCAGACTGGTCTGTAGCTGCCTTGGTTGCTTCCTACATTTAAGCGCAGGCAACATTTCACCAGTATTTGCGTACGCTCCCAACTTCAGTATGTTTGTGACAACTTGTTTGCTCAGGGGCCTGTCACCACTTCTCTGAGCTTTCAGAAAGTGAATGTCTACTCAACCTTCTCCAAACATACTCACACTTACACTTGAGTGCATTCAAATCTTTCAGGGTGAGCTTCCACCTTCTGGAGTGCAACCACTATCCAATGATTCTTGCTGATTTTTAACTCTTACTTCTTTCCTAGAGCATCAGCAGTTTTTTTTAAGTTTATGCAAATGTACAAGAAGTTTATTCATCACAACCCAGCATAACTTATAGCTGACATCTTCCTGTGCTTGAAAAGAGCCTGTGCTACCAGATCAGCAGTACGCAAGTAGCACGTATATCTACATGAGAGAAAGAAAACTGCAAAAAACACAGGTTAAACCTAAACAACAACCTAACTACCTTATTGTTTGTGATTACCTTAGGAAGTAGAACATCTACCTGAGAGGCTTCACTAGAAATTAAAACATTCTCACAGGACTAAGATCAGTTCAGCTACCAGCTCTACTGACCACTTTCAAGTCTAGATCATTAGAAGTTTTCAGCACAAAATTCTGCAACTCAAACAAAAATGAAAATTAAAGAACTTCTTGAAATAAGGCTTTAAAAAACTCCACACAGAGCCATGTAAGGGAGCTATCACAATCACAGCTCTTTTCAGATTTAATTTAGTAAAACTCCCCATCTTAAATTGTATTCCAAGTTGCTTTTAAATTATATCTCAATTTCCTATAGGATTTTCAACTGGCTGCTTCCAGTGATTAACGAACATGAACTTCCTATAAACACCTGCCTGTAAGCAGCAGATGAAGGCAGAAGCACAGTAGTTTCTCAATAGCTGCTGGGCAGCAGCAGCTCTTGGTCACCAATATTGAATTCCAATACGCAGTACCAAAGACACATCTGAATCACTATGTCAGCTGCAAACTAAGCTTCATTTTCTTTCTGTTTCCTTTGATATATGATGCCCAGCAAGGCCATATGGAACAAACAGACTCAAAGACAAAGCAGATGACGCTTACATGAACGGTTGGGGTTCACATGTTGTTTCAGGAGATCAATGGAGCCAAGGCTGACGACAAGGCGCCTTCCAAACCAGAAGGAGACCAGCGGGCCATATTTCTCATGAAGGTTCACCAAGAACTCATGCAAACTTCTGCTGGCAATAATGTCTGGCAGGTTGCCATCCCTGAGAAACACAAAGAAGCCACCTACTCATTTGCAACATCCACCACCAAGGCTGAACCCAACCAATGTTAAGATGGGAAGCACTTACTTGTCATCAGTTGGAGCCAGCCCAGGGATACCTGACGCCTGTCTGGATGCCTGAATAGCAAAAGGAAACCCTATCAGCCTTTCTGAATGTAGATTTTAGGCAAGTTTCACAGCTTTCTAGCAGGAGAACTGGATTTCCCAAACCAATGCTTCTGCACTATACGCAAACGTTAAACAGAGCTGGACAAAGTGCATCCTCAGGCCTCAGACCCGCCGAGTTATACAGAATTGATCAGCTGTGAGCGTGTGCCTGGTCCCACAGGCCAAACTAGGCTCTAACCATCTGATTCAACGGGAGACTCCAGCGTAGCTCCGACACCCGGATTTTGCCCACGGACCGGCGCACACGCAGACCATAAGCCGAGGCGTACAGCCTTTCTAAAAGGGCTCATCGGGGCACAGAACAGGAGAAGCACGGCCGCCCCAGCACGGAGCGCAGCTCTGCGCGGCCCCGCCGCAGCCCCAGCCCCGGCAGCAGCGCGGGCGAGAGAGCCCGCGGCCACTCGCTCCCTGCAGCGGGGGTCGGGCCGCTCGGCCCCGCCGCCATTACCGGGTAGAGATAGAGCACGGCGCCCACGAGGATGAGCAGGAAGGTGACGGCAAAGATCGCGAAGTCCAGCATGGCGAGGCCGGACCGGGCCGGGCGGCGGCGACAGCTCGGCCCCACCCCGCGGCCTCGCGGCGGGGCAGGAAGGGGCGGGCCGGGCCGCGAATGCGGGCGGGCATGGGCTGCCCACGGCGCCTGCTGCTGGTCTCCAACTCCACCCTGCACGGAGGGGGGTACCTGGGCCACTGCCAGCAGCACATCCAGAGCTTCTTCGGGGAGTAAGTGCCGAGTGGGGGGGGGGGGGAGGCCGGGCCGCGCCCCGCCGGGCTCCAGCGCCCTTTCCCTTCTATCTTCCCAGGAAGGTGAAGCGGGTGCTCTTCGTGCCCTACGCGCTGCACGACCGGGACGCCTACGCCCGCACCGCCAGGGAGAAGTTCGCGAGTTTGGGTAAGGCGGGCCCTGAGGCGCGGGCCCGAGCCGCCCCGGGGCACCCCGCCTCGGTTCTGTCCGCGGGGGGAAGGCGGGCTGCGGCATCGGAGGAGGCGCCCAAGAGGCCTCTGCAAAAATCTTGTTGCAAACGCTTCTAACGCCTTCGGAGAGGAAGTTTTTTGCAGTGAGCCTTGAGCAAAGATTTTTTCCAGACTGGTCTATTGCAGTAACTGCCTCTTATCTGCACTGCTCAGGATAACCTTGGACCCGTTACCCCAGTAACAACCAGTACTCACATCCTTGGGTGTCACACCACTCCTCCTTGTGCAGGAAGACTGCTGCTGTCAAATGCCCATCTGGGGCTCCTGGCCCTTACTACATGCAGTGAACCGAGCAGAGCAAACCTGTCAAAGCCAAACATTTTAGCCATTATAAAAAATAGGTTCAAATCAGAACACTGCTGGCACAGCCCAATAAGTCCCATGTCCAAGCTGAACAGTAGCAGTGTTCCTCTCTTGAGATAGCAATTTGCACTGAGCTAGCCCCTTCTGAGCAAAGTGCTCTGCTTTTTGCAATGCTGAGCAACGTCTCCATACAGCTAACATTGGTTTTAGTGTGGATGGGGATACAGAAGCCCTACACTAATGTAGGGTACACATTATACCCTTGCAGTAGCCCTTAAGATTTCCCTGGTTTTACTGTGAGACATTTGGCTTGAAGTGGGGTGGGAAATAACAGGAGGGAAGCACCCAATGTACATTCTTCCTCCCAAGGGAAGCGGCAAAGGTAAATAACTTCTAATTTAAGGTTATGAGCTGGACAGCATTCATGAATCTTGTGATCCAGTGGAAGCTGTAAGAAAATCTGAAGCAATATTCATTGGTAAGTCTTACTTCTTGCTCCATAAAGAAGGTTTACATAAGACACTGTATTAGTCTGTTGTAGAACTGACAGCACAGAGAAAAGAATGGAAAAGTCCTGCCTTACTATTAGAAGCTGCAGAAAATAGTAGTTTGTGAACATTAAGACCCTGAATTTAATGGTGGGAATGGAAGTAGGTGGGATTTAATCAATGGAACTGCTTCTCTAGTAAGTTTTAAATTACTCACTTAAACAGCCCTTCAACATTAAAAACATGATTTTAGATAAATTATCACTTTTTCAGGACTAAGAGGAGCGAGGCCTACTGTGGTTGGACTGAGCAGTCCTAATATACTCCAGGGTATTAGAGTACTATTTGCTGACAAACAGCCAGCATCAGAGTTAGGAAGGGGAGTTAGGGCACGAGCCCATGGCCTGCCAAATAAGCATTTCTCCAAAGCTTCTGGTTTTACTGCTGCTGAAAGCAGAATATGGTCCTGAACCAATCTGAGTCTGGCAAGTCTGTAGTGGCACCTATGTAAAATTCAGAGTAAAGCATGTTAAATAAGTTGGATACTTTTTCTGCAGGAGGTGGCAATACATTCCGTCTCTTGAAAGCTCTCTATGACAACAGACTGATACAAGAGATCAGGAAACGAGTTCTTGAGGTAACAACTAGATGACATCGGCTGAGGCTAAATGACAAACAAATAAGCATTTGTTCAGAGAAATACAAGTAGATTCTACATCTTTGTTTCTAATGTACTTAAATAGAAGGCATTTCATGCAAGCCGGTGAACTGAAATCTGTGCCCAAATGAAGCTTCTGTTAGCCATGGAATCCTGAAAAGCCTAGGGTCAAATTTTCCTTCTCCAGCAGTTTCCCAGATTTAGAACTGCAAGACCTTGGGATGTACAATGCTGTGCTGTAATATAGAAGTAAGCCCCTCAACATACACCAATGAAGAGCACTGTGGGACTCAACCGTTGGTCAGAAACCCTGTTTCTCAGCTTGTCTACTCTGTGGCTTGATACAGATGTGTTCAAGCTTCACATTGCCTAATGATAATCCAAGTATAGAATTGGATCTACATGTGCCTTCTATAGAGTAAAGAAAAAATAAAGTGGTGTATTCACCTTCGGTATTTCCTTTATCTAAAATCGCAACGTATGAGCATCATTGAGCCCCCTCCTATCAGCAGCCATTCTGGCTTGGTTAATCTCGTAAGGCACAGCAAAAACAGACCATCCAAGGAAAAAGACCAAAGCAAGGTGTTCCCTCAGTATTATGAAACTGTAACTTCAGACAAATTTATGCAAACCATTTTATGTTTAAAAAGGCCAGCTGACAAGAAGAAAGGTCAGGTAGGCCATCTTAATATACAAATTTCTGGTGTGTCAGAATGGTTTTTGGCTTCAGATCTGATTTCCTAAAGAGCAGATAGTTCACCTGTTTCAGATATTTTCTACAACTGTAATGTAGATAAGTCTCCTCTCTTAAAAGCAAAGCCTAATGCCTATAGTGACATCCAATAGTTGGCTCTCTGACAACCATTATACGTATAAACTGCTGCCCACCGCAAACCCTGAGCTCTTGCATTTCTGCTTTTCACCTGTAAAATTAGCAGCAAAATGAGCTAGATGTCTGACTTTGCTGCTGAGTCTCCAATTTTGACAGAAGATGCTATAACATGCAGTTGTCAATTGTGATACTGCATACTAATCATTGCTTTTTTCTTTCAGGATGGGATTCCTTACATGGGATCCAGTGCAGGAACTAACGTTGCTACTGTCAGCATCAACACTACCAATGACATGCCAATTGTTTATCCACCTTCCCTGCAAGCCCTAGGTTTAGTTCCTTTTAACATTAACCCTCACTACCTGGATCCAGATGTTAAAAGCACTCACATGGGCGTAAGTAAAGCATACCAGAGTTAACACAGAGTGCCAAGGTTTAACAATAGCATGCATGTGCAAGGGCTTACAAAGCTAGACATTGACTAACAACTGTTCCCTAGATCAGATGGAAATGCCAAAGAGGCAATAAGACTTTAATCCCTCCTAAAGCTTTTGAGTAGGAAGGGGAGCTGGCAATGCAACATTAATGTGAAACCTACTTGCTTGTCTCTAGATAAGGCATCAGTCTTCAGTCTTTCCCTGTAAATAACTTGCTGTTTTACTGAGAGGACTGTAGAAGCTCTGTGCTGTACCAATGCCTGCTGTATTCCTACGTTTCCTTACCGACAAATCCTCCTGGTTTGATTTCCTTAACTGCCATTGCTCAGTTCAAAAGCAGTAGCACTCAGGAAACATGGCAGAGCCATTCAGAGAAGGAAATTCTTCAGATAATTCCTACTCAAGATGAAACGAACAGATAATTAGTAGAAATCTATGGCTATCATCTTTCACAAACAAGGCAGCGCATACATCTGCTTTCACCATCTTCATCATCTCTTATTTTGAGTGAGCACATAAAGAACATTTGAAAAAAATAAAAATAAATAAATAAATTGGCTGGAAACATGTTTTCAGGCTTGGGACCAGGCAGATTCTATCTGATCAACCTACAGCAATTGCTGCTAGTCATCAAGGGTAAATCTATTTACTAAAGCCAATCCTGCCACTTTTGTCAATACATTAGTCTAATCAAAACGTTCTTTTAGATGGGAATGCCTGCTTTTTTTAATTTTAAGATGTTATTCAACATTATACTACTTGAATGGCTCCAAGTTCTACTTCACTCTCTGGGCAGCTAAATCTACACTTGTTATTGCAGGAAACAAGAGAGGAAAGAATTCGCCAATATCATGAAGAACCAAACACCCCTCCAGTTCTGGTGAGTTGTAGTTTCCAGTAAGGAAGGTTATGTCTTTATGTCTGTAGCATGGCAAGCATTTTAAAGTTTGTCCTTGCTAGCTTTCAGTGTGAAACTCTGTTCCTAACAAGCTCTCCAGAACTGCAGCAGGGAAGATTAGTTATAGTCCTGCTAAACAGCTACAGCCTTTGATTTTCTCACTTTTAGAAAATGGATTATAACAAGTAAAATGCTTTCGGGCTGTTAGATGCTTGAAGCCTTGTTGCCAAGCCCTAGGATTTTAGACAGCTCCGATCTGTCCCAGTCACTGGTTGCCAGGCATACATTGTATGTTGCTGGTAGTAAGCATGCAGATGGGTAAGATACCTCCCCTTCATTTTTTGGACATATTCTTACCTTAAATGTTGTTTTAATCTCTGGAGGTATCTTCGTTTGCCCATTCAGTAAATAATACAATTCAATACATTTGTAGTAGCAGCATGTCTGGGAAGCCAGGAACCAAGTTTCAAACTCAAAGCTGGTGTAGGGACAGAGAGGATAAACCTGGGTTACCGTTGCTTCAACAAAACCAGATCAAGAGTAGCAGCAGCAGAAGTAATTGTGGAATGTATATTTGTTTGGTTTTGTTTTTCTCTGTAGTGGTTTGTATAGCCTTCTTCAAAAGGCTATCAAATACACGGGAAAACTGGCTTCTAAAACAAGATAACTCACCTTTGTCTTTGTATCTTTGTTAAAAATAAGCAAGTAATAGTCATGAAGCACTGCACTTAAAACTGGCCTAACGGGAAAAGTGCTCTAGCCTCTCAGATTGCAAATAAAGTTTTTTTTTTAAACCTATATTAGGGCTTGCGGGAAGGTGCAATGCTGCTTGTGGAAGGAGACAAAGCCACCTTGCAAGGAGTGACAGGAGCAAGGCTTTTTTTGAGGTAAATGCTTCATTTGAATTTGAGTGAAAGAGAGAGAGACTTGGTTAGACTCCTGGTACACACTGCCTCTTCCTCATTACTCAAGTCACTTAACACTTTGCTTCCATTTCTGTTCAGAAGAAACACGAATACTGATTAGTGATCCAAAAAAGCAGTTAGTATGACAACGCCTATGTTTCTAAGCTATAGCCACCATTCATCTAGAGCGTCCCAATACTCCAGCTGGGCTCTGTACTCAAGGCTGGGGAAATGCTACTTTGGTCCTAATGTACTCTAGAACAAGAGAATTCAGGCCGTTAGTTGTATGAACATTACTGCAAAGTCTAAAATGTGTATCTCATGATGAATACAAGGAAGGGAACCTTGTTCTATCCCTAATACCAAGCAGAAGATCCTTGTTCTGTCATTAATAACAAATGGAAGATCAGTAGACCTAGCTGCTGTTCAAACTTACAGCATGGTTTATTTTGTTTACAGAGGTAAGAAACCAACTGAACATGAGCCTGGAACAGATTTCAGTTTCTTGCTGATTGACAGCAATTTCCAGTAGCCTTGCATATTCTACAGCAAAAGTCAGCACGTGAAGAATGGAAGAAATGCTTGCAGTACAAGAGTGGGTAGACAGCCTTAACTTTATAAATAAAACTAAATATGCATTACTAGGCTCTTCTTTGCCACCCTGCTCACTTCTTAGACAATCTCTCCTTCCCAGCAAAGACATGCTTTATTGAAATGCTTGAATAAGAATAGTACTCTTACTCTGAAAAGTTCTGTATGTTCACATCTCCACTTTGATTCCTCTCTCAAAGAAAGTTACCTTAACACAATTAAGAGTCAGCTCTTTCTTCTGCCTTGTTTTACCTGTGTAATAAAGCAATTGTTCATTTAGTGTCCTCTTACAGCATTAGCTTCATTTTTGCAGAATTAATAAAGTGAGAACTTTTGCATTCAGTTATTTTTATTGGCATCATACTCATTTTAAATATATACAGTGCTAATTATGTACAAAATTGTGCATGTTAAAAATTGTTAGGTTACAAACTCACAAATCCTAGAAAAGTGCAAAATTTTAAAACATCTTCCACCATGCTGTACAGAAAAAAAATTCCATCATTAGCTAATATACACACTCTCAAAACATATTGATCAAACCGAAATAAGACATACAGTATACACTTAAAGCACCCAGAAGGGAAAGAGATATTGCACAGAAGACTAACAGCAAGTTTGTTACAGTGCCTGAAGGCTCATTTTCAAAAGTACATACTTAATACTCCTCAGACCTAACAGTTAACTTTTTTTTTTTTTTTTTAAGAAAAGGCATTTTTTGGCATTTAAAAATTCATTTGTAACCACAATTGCACAATGTGTAAGAGTCAGAAGACATTATTAACTGTTGCTCTAAATAAGGCCTTTGCACTGCCTTGTTAGCTTTATAAATTTAAACAAATGCTGAAGCATATCAAATAATTTCTTACTGAATTTCATCAAAGAAACTTTGAGTAGCAGCAAAACTTCCAACAGAAGACTGACCAGTGAGAGGAAAGTCTAAAAGCAGCGTTTGCCTAATCTTACATTAAGATGCTCCTGCATAACTAAAGGTTGGATCAGGACACATGTAGCAAGTTTTCCTTGTTTTGTTATTGTTTTGGTTTGTTTTTTTCCCCTCCTCATAGCTTTCTTTAATAGATGACAGCTGCATACAACTAAAGCAGTATTACGAGGTACAGATTTAAGTTTAAAATAAACAGTTACTGCAATGCAAAAAAAAGTCTCTCTCATGAGAAAATGCTGACTAGATAGGAAATTAAATCAATAAATGGTTTCTAACTTCATTTAGATTTGTGGTACTCATGGCTAGATGTTTTGTCTTTCCATCTTAAGACATCTTAGCAGCATTAAACCATAATCTGCACTGACAATCATGCTTTCGGGACCAGAAATTAGTTACAACAGTCTCTGCACAGAGCCCAGTCACAGACCTGGAAGGTCTGGAATTACTTTCCAAGTTACCCAATTCCATCAAACGAAAATAGAAAGCACACACAACTGGAGGAACTCTTTCTTTTTGAGTCATTTTGGTAAACAGTAACTAAAAACATCAGTATTCTTCCAGTGATGCACAACAAAAAGGTGAGCAAAAACTGGATTGTCTTTGAGACAAAAACTGAGACTGTCTTTGATTAAACAGTACAAGCATACCTGTAGAGCGTTCAAGACTTCAGTGAAATGAATAATACAGCTGACTGAACAGTAAACTGTGAATGATGCTATGCTGCCACTCAGAGGCCTTTCTGCATTCTGACAACTATAGTACCGAAGGAGGAGATGGTGTTCTACTGATTGTTAACTGTAGAAGCTGGCTTTCTTTTACAAGTATGCATTAACAAGAGCAATTATTAATAACAAGAAATTTGTTCCCTGGGATGGAAAGAAAGGCATCTTCCAAACACTTTGGTTAAGTCTGGCATTGGTATATAACGAACCTACATACATGAGATTGCACAAAATTTTTCTCTCCCCAAAAGGAAGATGTACCTCTTGTATCACTGCCTGCATCTGCTTAGACTTAGCCAAACAAACACAATTTTAAAGCAAAGCAAGTTAATACAGTCTGTTGTATTAAAGTCTCTTCATTAGCTTCATTGTAGTTGCCGTGCTGTTACCTATTACAGCACCAAATCTGACTGACCATTCACAAAAACAATGATCAAGTTCAGTGAATGAAAACAGAAAGTCTGCAGAAGTGTAGCACTTTGTGGTATATCTCATTTAAGAACTGTCTTCAACCGTCTGTAATACTTTCTGGAGATTTTGGTAATATATGCTAGTAACTAGAGTGTATACATTTGCACAGCTTAAGTCACTCCTTAGCAGGAACTTCATAGGCAACTGATTACTAACAGTGTCACATTTATCACTGAATACTACATAGGTTTTAAACCAAAAGGCATAAAGAGCCCATTTGCAAAAGCACCGAAGTACATGCTTAAATTCCCGCCAAATTAAATGTGACCCTACACAGTGTTTTTATCTAGCAATATTTATTAGATCAGGCCTTAGGGTATTAGGCTATATATTTATATGCAAGAAAAATGCAGTTAATTTAAGACTGAGATTATCATTTTGTGCTGGTGTTCGTAAGGTACACAGATGACAGAAGATACAGTTTCATGATAGTCTATGACTCTATGACGGAGTAGTAGACAAGTATATTGATGTGGTATAATTCATCTAAGTCTGATGCTAACTTGAACTGCAAACATTTCACTTTCTGAATGCTGGTATAGTATAAAAACTGCCAAGGCTAGACAAGATTCTTCACTATAGGTAAAATACTAGAAATAGTATCAAGAATTACAAGCCAACTGAGAAATCTAACAAATGTTTTACTTGAAAGAGAAATGTCTTTTAAATATCATCTTTTGGTATGCAATTTCAAATGCTAGGAAGAATTTATTCAATATTGCTAACTTCTCAATCTAATTTATATACAAATAGCAAAAGCAAGTTTTCAGTTGTTTTTTTTTTTTTTTAATATATATTTACACACTTCCTTACTTGGCTTCAGAGGTAAGTGTATCTCTAGCTTTGATAAACATTATTAAGGATGTTTCAAAATAGAAATGAAAGGAAGTAGCAACTAGAAGATCTAGACAAATGTAGTGTTACAAAATAACTTTGCACTGTTTATTCTCAATTCCTAATCAGAATACTTTTTGTCTCACAGCTTCACTTTTTTTACACTTAAATCTAATTTCACAAATGTCTCACTCAACATGAAAAACAATATGCTCTACTTGGCTTGAGGAAAGTAAAAGGAAGATCAATAATTGAGTCATATACTCTGTACTGCAATAATAGACTGCAATTCAATTAGCCTGAACAGCTGACAGAAATAAAAAGATTTTCTACTTGAAAGACACAAAGAAATTAAGCAAAATGCCACCTACTGCTCAAACTTACTACTACCTATATCTTTATTTAAAGCTGTTTTCAGATAAAGGCAAAGTGCAGACCTTAGAACCCCTGGGGACTTTCCAGCAGGTCTAGCAAGAGTATTGACTGTGTGGCGGTGTACACAATCCTTCAGGATGAGGGGTGTACAAGATGAAAAGGTAACATACGTTGCTATTCTGCATAGAAGATGAAGTAGCTCAGAGCTCACCTTTTCTCATTCTGCTGTTTTGTGCAGAGCACAAGCTGTTATCAAATCTGCTCCAAAACTGTCCACATTTCAACCTCAGATATACTGATGATCACCTAATACTCACAATGACCTGAAACAATGGTACTCAAATGTCAAAGCTCCTCACCAGAAGTCCTCCCATCCCCAATTGCTGCAACTACATTACACGTTACGTAAGCTAACACACTGCATTCACTATTCTTGAATATTAAATTATTAAAATTATTCTCTTGTATAAACATAACCTAAACACAATAAGACATTTTTCAAACATTTGTGAACCTCTGAGCAAGTGATAAGGATTTTCTTCACAAACACTATAAAAGAACCAGTTTTGCTTTTTCTCTACTTGATTCTACTAACTTGAAATGTTATTGCCTCTCCCTTCCTCTGCATTCATACCCTTAACTTCATATATGCATTTAAATAGAACATATCTGCATACTTATAAAAACCAATGTAATGCCCCAAGTGAGTTCTTTTGCAACGTCCCAAAACTACTCTCCAAAGATTTCCCCTGAAATCCCTTCTTCATGAAATCATTACGGACAAGCTTACTTCACATTCTGATGTGCATACTTTATACTTCCAGAATCACCTTATTCTTCCTCCTGGATAGGCAATTGACAAAAGCAGTTCTCACTTTGAAAGTATGGAGTCTGAAAAAAAATGAACCACTTCACTTTCAGAAATTTAATGCTCTCTTGGCAGGTGACTCAGAAATTACTCTTTTTTCTTAACCTTCTAGACAATCCAGTCTGTCACAGTGATTAATTAGAATATTGCAACTATGGATAGACCCATTTTTTCTCACTAGTCTGATTTATTTCCTCTAAAGTTAAGAAAAAATAACATTATTCCCCAGAACATGGGGAATCCCCACAAGAGGATTTTTTTTTTTTTTTTTTTTTTTGAAATAAAGACATTGAGGAAGAGAATACAGTTTTAGTGAAACTAACTGAACTTCTAAAAAATTATCTTTTTCCAGGAACAGGGATTAACCATGTAGAAATAAAGATAATAAATATTGTGCCAAAAGTTAATGAAATGAGATTATACACAATGGAGTTCCTCAGGTAGTTCATCAGGTCCCCAGTCACAGGGAATATATATCTGATAATCTCTATAGGAGGTACATCGCACATTCATTTCCATAAATAAATAGAAATAACAAAAAGGTGATGGCAGAGGGAAGAGAATGGTAGCCAAAAGGGAACATATTATCAAACCACTTCTAACTCTGCTTTTTATCTGTACTCTACTTGCATCAGAAAGATGCAAGAGGAATGATATTCTCTTTTTAATAGACATACATACATGTATATACATATATACACACAGACACATATACACACATACCTTCTCATGCCAGTCAAAAAATCTTATTTTTCCCTCAGCACCAGGCTTTTAACAGGATGGGGATTATAATTTATATCACTGATATTATTAAAAAGGCCAGAATGATAGGAAAACACTCCTCTATCATATATTGCTTAAGAAAACATTCAATAATGGCTTTTCGAAAATATAGCATCTAATTAAAAACTGTTTTGTTGTGTAATGAGCATGTACAGATCTGATATTTTCTTCTCACCACTATTAAACACATCTTGAAAACAGGCACACTATTTTCCTGCTTGTTTAACAGAAAAAAAGTACAGCTAGCAAGTGCTTTGGTGAATACTAAGCCAAGAAAAAAAACAGGTGCTATTTAATCTGCTGTAATGTTATAATGATTTTGCAATAGAATTTGTTTTTCCTTTGCAGGAGTTGCCTTACTAATAAAGATTGACCTTGAACTGACATGGATATGCAATTCCTCCTCTGGATTTCTTCAAGATATTAACTGTATTATGGGATTCCTTCCTGTTTTATTCTACTTAAAAATATAAATAATCTTTAGCAGCAAGTTTTCCTACCTCCTTCAGCTCATCCACCACCTTCAAATCCTTTGAAGTTACTCCTGTCGGTACTTTTAAGAATTTTTGATAATCAAGTAGTACAACACAGATGCTCCTTGCAGACAGCCTAAAACTGAAACTACACAAAAGATGACAGCAATGGCCATTTACAGGAATAAATCACAAGAAGTTATTCATTGGTCTAAAGACATAATGAAAAGATCATAATTGTCAACTATAGCAGTTTTGAATAGTACCGCTGTAACAGAGTTAATTCACTGTTGGAAAATTAGTGCTCTCAAAGCACTGCCAAGTATCTTTCTTGTGGTCAAGGAGCATCTGGCTAATAGAGCCAGTTTTAAATCAAATACTACTTATTTTTGGTTCAATTAGCAAGGCTTGGGTTTGGAGGTCTGGTGTTTTTGGTTTTTGTGTCCATTTCCTTTTGTTTGGCTGCTTTTTGGTTGTTTTTTTTTTTTTTCCCTGAAACCCTGTTTTAGCAGCTATTTAGAGAGAGATTCTGTTGTAACCAAATCAATGTGGTTAAGAAAAAATATGCAAGCAAGCTAACTTGCATGAGTACATATGCTTTTTACTATACCTCTACCATAGGTTCATCTTCAACAGACAGAGAGTGAAGCCCCTGAAAACAGATGTACATTTAAAGTGACCAAAATATAAAATGTATTTCTGGAATCCATGAGAGAAGGTAGAAGCAGCAATCACTTGGAATCTTGAGTGTTATATTCAGTCTCTCCTGATGAAATCTGGCTGAGCCGTTTGCTTGATCCCCAGAGCTTTCGGGAAAGCTGACCTGAGCGCATCTGTTTAAAAGTAATTCAGAGAAACAAAAGGAAGGGGAAGGGATAAGGCGAATAAATTAAAAAGGAACTTCAGACACTGATTCTGGTGAAATGCAGACACTACAATATACTAATAAACAAAGTTACACTAACAAAAGTTATTAAAAACAAACCAAAAATTACACTTAGGAATGATTCTTGGGACTGACAAAAAAAACAAATAACAGACAAAACACTAACACCTGTTGTCTTTGATTGTGAACAGTTAAAGGGATATTGCCAAGTAATTCCGATTTAATTCTGAATCTATTTTAAACAGCTTAGTGTTGAGTTCAGGTATTTTGATGAGAAGAGATTGATGTCTCACAGAAGTGAACCAAATTAGCAGAAAAGACTCTTATTTTAGAGAGTACAAACAAAAGTGATAGAATTGAGAAGGTAAAGATAACCAAGATGGACTCTTGATTATCACCTCTAAGTGATGGAATAATGCAGGGCAGTGATAACTGAGTGAAGGAAGGAAAACAAGCATATCTGGTCTCAAATTTACAGTCCTCCAAAAATCATCTGTGAAATGCTCAAAGTAAAATTTAAACCATTGAATATTCAATATGAATTATGTATGAGTAAAGATAACAACTAGAGTCCATTTAAAACCAGCACCCAGAGTCTGCTATCTGCCAACAATTTTTAAGAAACATCACATTTCTTAAATACAGGTCCTATGACTGGCCAGTAGTGATCAATCAGCTGAAATCCCTCATAATATAAGATGCACGCCCTAACAGCACAAGCTTGAGAACAGCTCTTGACCATTAGGCCTACAAATTAAGCTTGCTTAAGAACTGTATCGTTACAGCAGCAGGGTTTTATAAAAGGCACAATGCTGCTAGCGGGTGATAATCCTACTGACTTCTACAACTTCCCAACAGCTATGCAATTGTTAAGAATACACATACTTCACTTCGTAGTGGATACTATCAATGCAGAAAGACTAAAGGGCATTTCACTTGATCCACAATAAAAAACATATCTCCCTTAACCCTACCTACATACCTATCATCATCAAAAGCCAGAACTACGGAGGATCTTCCGAAAAAAAAAAAAAGTTCTAATTCATACACTCCTTCCTAAATTCAAATAAATAAATAAATAGCCCCACCACACACACTCTTCAAATATACCGGTTGTTGTTGTCATTATAGAAAACTAGAAAATCTAGGACATAATTTTGTTCTTCATATATACATGTGTGTGCACGTATAAATATATATATCATCTATTTACATGGATATTGAGCTTGAAGATTTGAGTTATAAACAGAAAATCCTGAAAAAAAAAAAAAAAAACTGTTGGAAAGCCTCGACATTCACAAAAGGAATCCAGACTTTGAAACCGCACCTTCTCCAGAGATACAAAAAAAAAGTGATTAAGAACTGAAAGCCTTCAGTCTAATGAGATGCATACATTTCAGGCTACAAAAGATTTTTTCTATGGAACAGGAAACAGTTGGCAGTGACTTTAAAAACTACTGTTACAACATACATTTCACAACACCATAAGCAGATTTTAATCAATTCTACAGTAGGAAAAAGCTGTCCAGCTGGAAGCTTCCCCTATTTCCTGAAACTAAATCAATTCTGTGAAGCCTTTTTAAAGTATTAAACTGCGCATCTCCTAGCTAAAACATCTTTAAACACTAAGAAATGAAGCCACTCTGCATTAATAAAATATAAAGTTAAGACAAACTCTTCTGACACATACTGAAGGTTATGCAGGAGCAATTATCACAGTTTCAAGTAGATACATTGCAGCACAATGGAGATTGAATTAGAAAGAGAGGCAGGTTTAAGTTAACTCAAGTGCTTTGAAAATAACGACAAGTACTTAGAGCAAAATCTGTTTTGCACAAGAACTGGGTACACCTATTTGATGGCTCTGCCTTTGATATTGCATATGCAGTACTAACAAATTTATATTCATCACGTGGAGCCAGAGCATATAGGGAATCTACACAAGAGATTCTTTATGCATTACAATTAGAGAATCTTAAAAAGTAATCTTTTCCCCAGTGTCAGTCAGTGCATATTAAAGGACACCTGACGGAAACCATGAAAAATAAAGGAGCTTGCTCTTGTTTCCAATTTTCTTTTGGAAAATTATTTCGTCAGAAAGTAGCTGACAACACTAACACATACAGAAGAAAGTAGCTAGTATGACTTGTCTTATTCAGATGTCAGTGACAAAGTCTGAAAGTTAGTCCAGCTGAGCTTCCCATCTGTGATCCCCAAATATCTTTGACTCTTAATGAGAAAATTCAGTAGAGCAGTCTCAAAAGTTATTTCTTCCCCACCGAAAACTGAAACTTGCTTTTAAATTTACCCTGCCATAGAGGAGACCTCTTGCTCAACTGGAAAGCAGAAATAAGTGAACTTCCCACTGTTCGGTAGAAAAAGTTCTTGATGGTGGGCTTTACCTCTGCTGGCTTGCCAACACCAACGATAATCAACTTGCCATCCTCCAAGCCAACAAGGATGTGGCTATACTCTTTGGTGACAGAAATGCAATGAATTGGCAGTCGCATGGCTAATGGAGAGATGCTCAGATTCAAGCTGAAATGAACAGAAACCACAGAGAATTAAATTACATGTATATTTTTACATATTGAAAAGCATCACATAGCAGTGGAGACCACAGGGTCCTTGGGATGCACTACAAAATAGTTTGTCAAGGATTCAGTTTGTGATTTTGACCATTATGAAATTCCACAGAAAGATCAACTCATACATCAGAATACAGCTCCGATGACAAGGGGCACAGGAGGGTCATACAGAAAATTAAGATAGTCTCAGTGGAAGAAGAGGAATATTAATCCCACATCTGCTTAAGTGACAAAGATCTCTCTGCAAAGGAGCTCTGTAAGAGCAGTGTAGAAGAACTATATGAGTCACTGTAGCTGATGAGCTCCCAGTGACTAACCAAATACAGGAACAATCACTGCTTGCCTGTATCAGACACAGCTCTTCCTAAACTACAGTAGTTCCAGGCTGATGGTTGTGATAAATGCCTACAGGGAAAGGGGCCTAGCACAACTCCTAATTTTTCACATTCTTAGTTCTCCTTAAACAATTTTTTTTTTAATACACCGAAAAACCCACAATTTTTAATACCATTAGCACAAGGAGAGCCCACATTACTAAATAAACCTCTGTATTTGCTTCTCAATAAGAAACTCAGAAGCACATTACCTGTAGAGATCTCGTATGGAAAGAAATCCCTGTAAGCTGCCCATCACAATATACTCGCCAGTCACACACATATCTGACACTTCTTCTTTCAGAGTCTCAGAACCCAGATGCTTTCCATTAACAGAATAGAGGTGTAATGCATTCTTATCCTAATAAAAAAAATAAATCCATCACCGAGGGCATGTATATATTCCTGCTCGCATATGGAAGTTTTTGAGATTATTCTTCATTAACTCTTGACATAACATGGTAGCATCACACCCATCCATCTAATCAATCCCAAATTTTCTGGAAACATCCGCAGGTTTAATGGACAGGTCCCTGTTTTTTGATGATTTTTCTTAAGGAAGAAGAAAAGAGTCCTCTTATCTTCAACACCCTCACCCCCCAATCAGGAAGCAGAAAGGAACACACCTATTTTACAGAGAGAACTTTCTGGATAAAACAATGAATTTTTGATGTACTGAAGACACAGCCAACACGACCACCTTCAGTTCTTCCAGTTTTGCAATACCTTGGTTTCATCTTTCCCTATCATGCCAGTGCAACTAGTACACTTATGTTTATAGTACATTTTTCTTCCAGAAAAGTTCCCATCCTCATAGAAATCGTAAGTTATACAGTTAGAGCAACTACACAGCTACTCAGACAGAACAAATCACACTGTGAACATTATAGCTGCCTTTCTGACACAAAATTAAGTCACATCAGCATATTCCCTGGGCATCATGCCTTTAAAACATATTGTTCCCCTTATAAAGCTTTACTTCTGTGAGTAATGGAGCATGTTTCCCCTAGTTTTGCATTTCAAAGTAACTCTCCCAGGAATATTTGTTGGTGCATTCTTAAGACATCTTCCTTGCACGTGTTTGGAGATGTTCACGAAGCTTACAGCAGCATGCTGTGTCTGTGATTCATCTTTTCAACACGTTTAATTAAAATCCACAGGCAAAATAAGAAGGAAAGACATGGTATGAACAAAAGTCCTACAGTTAAGGAAATGAGGATAAAATCAGGCACATTTATAATTAGATGTCTTTAGCAAAAGAAGCAGATTTTCCATGAACCTAAGTAATTCTTAAGTACCTTAAGAGTGGTCTTTCCTTCTATGCTGGTGTGGACAACGATATGGCCTTCCCAGGACACAGCCAGATTAGGAACAGTCAGCAGGAGAGAACTCTCACAAGGTGGTCGCAAAGTTCTCATGTACTGACCTTTCCGAATGGTGCGGATAATAACAGTCCCATCCTGCAGAGACCAAATTTAGGTAAGCTGATACTCAGCAGCAAGCTCTGAGGTAAATTACACTAACACACACAATGAGTATTTATTAAAAAATGAAGTATTTTGAAAGTACTTAAAGTCAACTATGGATTAGGACTTCCGAGCATTAAAGGCTCTGCATGAAGAATGCTTCCCGTCGAGGCCACGTAGTAATGGCATATGAAAAAACAAATTCAAATAGAACAAGAAGAAAAGGATAGACAAGAACTCAGCCATTTTTACAAGACATTTTTGAGTAGGCATTATTCACATTAGGTAGTCAGGAGCTCAGCAGTCGGCCAGTGCAGTACAGAAAGGCAGAATACAAGGAAGCTGTAAAGAGCCTTTGGTGCTAGGCAAACAGGGAACAATCTGTTGCAGAATTGTTTCTCTGAGAAGTTTAAGTACTCTAAGTAAGTTCACACACTTTGAAGCTCATCAGTGCAAACTCACTTGACATACTAGTTGAGGTCTATGCTGTGTAGAGTCTCTTTAGAGACTGCTGACTTAGACAGCAAGGGAGATAGCACATCTTTTTGACATGCAAGGTTGAAGAAAAGATTGTGAAAAAACATTTTTGGTATTGTACTTAACATCAAACGCACTGTAGGCTTGGACTGAAGAACTGGCAGAGAAGTGAAAGTATGAAGATGCTTACCCTGGATCCTGACACTGCCATGTCCAGCTCAGTGCTGATGCCAACACTTGTAACTTCATCAGTATGCCCGTAAAGGATCTGTAATGGCTTAGGTGTCAGGCCTACAGGCACTCCTCCCTGAGAGTAACAAAAAGTGCAGTGACATTCTCTTGCAGCTGAAGGATAAACTAAAATAAGTTTCTGGTACCTTTGACATAGGCCAAAACCAAAGGAACAACTCCTTTCAATTTATTGCCTTTTACGTCAGTAGCCCTTTTTAGTGAAATGAAACAAGTGAACATATAAACATTAAGTAGAGGTGAAAGACAATTCCATCGCATTCCTTCTGATGATCAGGTGTGCAAGGACCACAGTGAGCACTCCAAACAGGATTCATTTGTTCACCCACTCACTACTACTTTATCTGAGCTTATTCAATTCTTTATATTTTAACCTGGAATGAAGCCTTGCCTTCATAGACAAGGTCAAGGAAAATGATACCTGTTTTGCTTGAAAACTAAATTAACTTTGATTTCCTAGGGAAAAATAAGGAAATAAAACTTCTAAGTGACTGCCACTGGTATGATATACAGTGGAAATTTTGCAATAATGATTACTAAAAACAGTGTATTATTTGCCCACACGATTGCAGGGTGTCAAGATGATTTAATGCTTTTGCTCCAGCAAGTATACTGTCAGCATATAAAGACTTGGTCAGACCAGTTCTCAAGCAAGAGCTGTGCTTGCAGCAAAGGTATAGTAAAGAAGGTATAGTTCTGCAGAGTCTCCATTATAACTAATGTGAGAGAAATCTGACTGCCAACACCAAGTCCTGAAATCCTTGATTACACATGAACTGCAGAACAAGTGTCAGAATAAAGAGCTAAGAAAGATGGCAACAACGCAGAGCAGAAGAGAAGTGGCAGCATGCAGAACACTACTGCCACAATGGAAATAACATCACACTTTTAAGTACACATTTACAGTGTGAAAGCATTAAAGAATTCTGAAATGCCAGTGTAAAACTAGTTAAACAGACTAGTGATACCTTAGCTAATTCCTGGTCTAAGTCACCAGTACTTTCCACAGAGGAAATGCAATGCTAAAATGCAACTGCTAAAGCTGTTAAACCTGAAAGAAGGGAAATCAATGAACCATCATAGCAAGATAACGAAACAGAAAAGGATTCAGAAACTGTATTTCAGAGTAAGCCTAAATAACACACCTGCTGAACTATTTGCCATATCATGCAGGTTGTATCTCTGGATCCAGAAATTAAATGAATTCCACAGTAATCTATCGCCAAGCAGGTCACAATATCTAGATGAAGGAGAAACAACAAGAATTTGATGTAGTTTAACTGTAATTTCACCACAGTGTGATGGTGAGCATGCAGACTGTCCACTGTGTAGCCTCATTTACAGTCAACATGAAGCATTCTACCATGCTAACGACTGATGAGGCTGTATCAACCAATGAAGCCATTACATAACCAGGTGTACTAATGTGTCTATCACCTTTGTTCCCTAACAACAGTCATCAAGCTTTATGTTGAAACTACATTAAATTACTACAGCAACTAAAAAGTCACTCAACTATTTACATATAATCACAGTTCAGCTAATAATCTGTTCTTACACTGACATTCTGTTATGATTACTGCACCTGCCAGTTTAGGTTCACTGGTTTTTAACTCTTGCAGAAATACAAACATCAAGAAATACAAACAATACATAAAGTCTTTCATTTCACTATATAAAGAGTTACTAACCCATGTGCCTGATGTGCTGTCCAACCAGCTTGCCTTTTGTAAGAGATGTTACTCTGATGCTATTGTCCCAGTGTCCTCCACTAAAGAGGAGTTTTGCATCATGAGATACTGCAAACAACTTGGAAGTGATCTCCAGTCCTGGTGCAAAAGGACCACTCATATTACGCTGTGTTCTGTAAGCAAATGATGAACAATTAAGAGTGAACTTGGTTCAAATCTTTCTTTTTAAATTCTTGTATCTTTAAAAAAAGAAATTCTGTAGAAGAAATCTATAGAAGAAGCTATAAAAAAAAAATGATAAAATTCTGTCCCCTTGATATCCACAGCAACACTGTCAATGCCAAGAGTGGAAAACAGATTAAATCATGCAATTTATAGTTCTGTACAAATAACTAATTACCCTAATAATGTAATTTTAAAGTAAAAAAGGAATCTTCTCAAAAATCAGAGAACAATGACAACTTACACCTTCACTGTATTTTAAGACTGTATGAAGAGCATTCATCTCAAATTCTAAGATGATGTTTTATAATAAATAACTAGAAAAATAGAATGAGAAGTAGCTCTAAAGATGAAGTGCCATGAAATATCCCTTACAGGGCTCTTTACTAGAAAGGTAATATTAAGCACTAGAAGATGCATACCTAGCTAGAAATTCAGCCAAAAGAAAACAATACAGTCCATTTTCTATCAAACAATTACTCTATTTTATTACTATAGATGCATTCAGCTCACGTCCTCATCATTTGCTTACTTGGGATTTGTCACTGTAGTATCTTTGATGAATGTAAAATAGTTGGAGATGTTTTTATCATAAGGCAGCCAACCATGGGTTCCAATAATACAATTCAGACTTGCTGTTACCTGCGAGAGTTAGAAAAATTGATGAAACCTAGAGACTTTTTTTCTGGTATTGGAACTTACATAAAAAAAGGCAAAGCAGCACATTTGTACCTATTTATTTTGACTGCTGGCACTCTCCAAGATTAATATTGACACATGCAACTTACCAATATCTCTGGGCTTCCCTGAGACATAAAGGAACGTGACTGATTCTTGGGGACAACAGCTTTGACAATGGGGACACCATCACTGATTCCCTAAGAGAAAGGACATAGTTTTGATTTGATTATACACAAGAGGTAAAGGTCAAGTGTAGAGTCTGTGAAGAGTTAAAACCTAAATCCTCTAATCAAAACCAGACCTTTAAAGTACAGTTGGGCATTGACACACAAGTACTCAGTTCATACAGGTATATAGCATCACAAGCACCAGGGCATAAACCCTAGCTCTGCCATGTAACCTTGAGTTTAGTCACCAAACCTAGCAAATCCTCAGGTACCACCAGCGCTGTTCTTAGCTTTCATGATTTAGTTGTTAACTTAATACCCAAACAAGACTCAAATTCATGTCCATCAGATACAGATTTATGGGATTCAACTTCTTTAAAACTAACTAAAAAGATAGTTTCATACAAATTGCACTTGAACGGATTTTCTTCAAATAGGAAGCAAGTCTACTTTCATATGGCTTATGGCTTTCTGTTTCAAGATCAGAAGTCTCAGATCAAACTTTAATCAGCTTCAAATAATGCATCTACCTCTATGAAGAATGACTTCAGTTCAGTGAGGTGTTGGAAGAGATTCAGAGTAGAGGTATCACTTCTAGTTAGTCTTTGCACTACCTCTTCTGCTGACAACCTCTGAGGATGGGGCTCCTGGAAGATGAGATTTGAAGAAGTATCAAATTAGACAAATCAGACACTCAACTTCTTTCAGAAAGAAAATGAACTTATTTTGAAAACGCTATGTTAAATTTCCCTCACAGTGATTCTTAGAAATGGTAATGTGGAAAACTTATTTTTCATAAGTTGTCTAACTCAGTTCAATTTAACCAAAGGTTTGACTGAGAAGGAAAAGAGCATTACCTTCAACAGCTGGCAGGGAGTTTGTCCAAAATTGTTTATCATCCCTTCTAAAGCTTTCCTTTCCTTCTCATCTGTTAAAGCATCCAAATCCACTGCTCCTGGATTGCAGCAAGAAGGGAAGAAAAAAAAAAAAAGAAATTAAACCATTCATACAGAAAAGATTAGCAAAGAAACAACACAAATTCATCACAGCATCATTGCCCTTTCCCTCAGGAAAGCCTCCAAACTATGCATTCATATAAAATACAACCTGAAAACACCACTGTCTCCGTCAGTGTGAGAAATGCAGATTTTTTGACTTGTCAAATGGATTAATGCACTTCATGCATGCAATGTGTTACACACAAAAGCCACCCAAAATTCACTTTTGGTGTTAATAGACTAATATTAATTCACAATATTTTTTATTCAATTTGCCTCAACTCCTAAGCCTTTCCTATGAATGCTTTTAGGCAAGTGAACAAGAAACTTGTATTCTGACAAATACAAGTTATGCTTTCTCTTGCTTTACTGTATATTACTACATGGCATGATCACAAATCAAGTGCTTTCTAGCTAATACCCGAAAACCCACAATTCTGATAACAATGACAGGAAAGTATACTGCTTTGTACCTTCATAAGTACAATAATAGAACACATTGAGTGCCTCCACTGCAGCTGGTCCCCTCTGCTTGTAGCCAAAAATCAAATCGATCCATTCATGAAGATGAGCAGAAACATACTCTGATTCCTAGAGGAAAAAAAAACACTCAATAGTAAGAATGCTGTTCCTTCTTGAAGTATTTACTGATTTCTGTGAAAGAAATTCCTAAAATAAGCATATGCACAAATTAAGTGGACACTAATGTATGGGGCAGAAGCATAGAATATGGCATAAGCACCAACTGCCAGAGGGAAATTTAATACAAAGCAACACATCTAGAGCTGTTGAAATGCAGACGTGAAAGGCAAGGTAAGCTTCTATTTCTCTATAATTATTAAAATTCAAGGGGAAGCTTATCACCCAAAATCATTTAGTTCTGCATTGAATCTCCTAAGGAAGCAACATTCAAATCATCAGCATCCTTAGGCTCTTTCCTTTTTTCATTCAAGCATTTTATTTACATGCACAAGGCTATCAAGTGAAAATTCTTTCCTTATTATTTCATGCATAACCATCATCTTACCAGAGCCTTTCTATGTTTATAAATGAAGTCTTCTGGGGAATGGGCCCACTTGGGGAGAACAACATCATTTACTGCTTCTTTGGACATTTGAAGCTGACCCAAGTTAAAGCCTAGTGAGAATTTTGGAGAATTTGAAGAGTTACTACAAAATACTTCCAAAATCTTGCTTTCTCAATAAAGGTACAAAGGGTTCAAAAAGAATGCAAGGGAAATAATTCTAGCAAGGACATAGGAGGCTAAGATCTACTCTGAATCTTTTAAATTTTAAGTGATATGGGATAATAGTTATCCACAGCATCTAAATGAGCTAGAAGCTGCAGTCTCAATCTTAAAAGAAGCATTAGTAATTTACACATCAGAAAAACATACCTGCATTTGCTCTATTTTATCAGCACTAAAGCTTCAAAACATTTCAATAAGATTATGTGTAAGTATGAACTAATAATTAATAGGATTAAGTTATCCTAGAGTCAAGGGTTCCAAATCTTAAATTCTACCAGCTTTCATAACAACAGCCCTAAAATATTTAAAAGACTTTTGAAAACATGACTTAAGTGTTGCAAATTTTAGTAACTTACAACTCTAGTAACTGCAGCTACCAGACCAAATTATCAGCAGCACAAACATGCAAATCTACTTTTAAACTGCCTAATAGGAAACAAAAAATTCCCCTGGGCAAGAAATTCAAAGAAGAAATATCTAGGAGTCTCACACATCAGAATGCAGGGCATTCTCCTTCTAAATTTTATATATGACTGAAATAGTTTGGTTCCCCCCCCCCTTCTCTTCTCATACATTTTAAAATTTTATATGGGTCTAAAAATCAACCAACTTCACATGATATTGTTAGATAACAGTAACAATTTGCCTAGAATAGCAGATGTGATGTTTTAAGTTGTCCAAGCCATCATTCAACAAATCTAGTATAACAAATAATAATTAATATCTATTAACTTCTATTTGATCTATTTCTATTACCTTTTTAAAAAAAATATTCAAATGAGCATCTTTGCTCTTTTGTTAACCAAACAATGGTTTTAGCCATCCTTAATCTCCCACTCTGAGTTTTAAACAACATTTAGATTACTGATCAATATAACTGCTCTCACTGAACAGTTTTGAAGTCAGCATGATGAAGTAATTTCCACAAGTATATTATTAGGCTTAAAGATTAAAATACACCACAGTATTCATAAATGGTTGGAACAATTCTTCTCAGAAGAGGAGTGCTCGATGCAGAATATTCTGAGCAGTCTATTTACCATTTTGGTTCTCCAGGAATTCTGGGAAGTAGAAAAATTCTGGAATAAGTTCTTTGACATCATTGGGGTTATCCATGAGTGCTTGCCAGGTAGCAGGAATAGAATGGAACTGTCGATCAGCACAATCAAACCTGGGGGACAGAAAACTCGCATCAGATTGATTACTCCCTTGGTAAAAATGACATGGAAGAAAAAGTTGGTACTACTTTGCTCATAATGTACCTGCCACTTTGAAGTTGGATATGAAGAGTTGTGAAAGGTTCTACCCGAATGAGGTAATGCATGACACCAGCAGCATTTGAGTAGTGTGTCCCATAGTGAAATTTGTCAATCACTCCAAGGGGATCCTCAAAATTATCATATCTTTAAAAACAAAAGACAGCAACAAAAAACTTCTATAAATATAAATGAGCACTACAGCTGATATACACACAGATTATACTTATTGGAGGGAAGGACTCAAAAGAATTGATCACAGTAATTTGTGAAGGAGAATCACATCCAGTTCTATTAAACATGGGAACACAAATTCTCAGAAAATCCCTAAGCAAAAGGGACTTTGATATGATGGATTGCCCTTTGCATATCTGTTCTTTATACCCTACCCTATGCATCTGTTATAACATATCAGAAACTGGATAAAGAGCAAGACTGGCCCTGTTTAGCATGAGTTCATACGAGAGAAAAAAGCAAACCCATGAATAAGCTGGATATTACTGAAAGAATTTGTTTCCTGCAAGACTGAAAATATCAGTTTGTGTGACCATTTCAAGATGCAGAGATGCCCGTTTTCCTCTTCTGCTGGCAAACTCACTCTACAGTACTATGCCACCATCCACTTGATATATTCCTCCACATGACAAAGCTAGTAAGCAAAACTACAGTTGAGTACTGCTAGAGAATCAGTTTCATTATAGTCAGGAATAGACCCAAATCAAAGCAAATTCTCCATGTTCCAAGTTCTATGGAGAAAACTGGTTTTGCAGGAAGCCTGACAAGTGCCATCTGGTATAATAGCACTCACTCCTCTCAGTAGCAAAGAGGAAGGATAGATACACTGATGTGTAGGTGTAAATACTTGTCATTCCTACATAGAAAGGAACTGCTGGGAGCAACTGAGTTACATTTTATTTCAAAGATAACCTACACACACACACACACACACACACACACAAAAAAAGCAGGAAACACAGATCTAGCTTCTCATCAGCATGATTTTACATTCCTTATCTTGAAACAGATACAAGACACAGAATATCTCTTCAAACTACAGACCTTTTCATCTCCCAGAGAAAAATCTCAATTTAACAACAGTAAATTTTGTCCTTTCAGTGCTGCGTGAGCTAACCAATCTGAATACAGTAGAAACAAAGAACTGACAAACCTTTGCAAAAGCATCTGGGATGTTAAATTGTTAGATTTTTAAAATTTCAGTGTCACTATTGCATTTTTAAATATGTTATTATCATAGAATCTCAAATGACAAAGAAATAACTAAGTGCTCAAATACATACTTCTCTTTCACAGTCTTAGCATTCTTCTCATTTACCACTCCAATGGGTTTGGATAGATCCCTAAAGACTGCTGGATTATTCAGATCCAGTTCTTCAGATGTATAATCTCGTAAAATCCAGGGGAACTGGAAAGAAAAAAAATGAATCAAACAGATTAAATCCATCTTTAAAAAACAGAAACAATACGGAAGTTCAACAAAAACTTAATAATTACCACAGGATATTGAGCAAGATCATTGTAAGTTCGTCCTGCCATTGTGTTCAGCTGAATAAGGTAGTCAAAGTTGGATATTTCTCTATTCACCCATTTCTGAAGGACAAACATAAAGAACATGGAAGCAAGTTACACATCAGTATTTCCTTGCTGCTGGAGAGTACTATCAGCAAGTAAAAAAAGACTATGAGCACTAGACTATGAGCATGGTATGAATATTCAAATTTCGTTTCTCACAGTCACTATTATTTCCCATTTGATTTGATGATTATACTACATTTTACAGAGTTGCTACATTTCACTGAAATACATTGACTGTGCTGTATTTCATTGAAATCATATCCTTGGTTGATATCAGTACTGTTTTAAAATGCAATACAGCAGACAGCTAGCAGCCTTAGAAAAAAAAGGGGAAGCAAAATAGAAATGAAACAGAATACAGGTGAACAGATAAGGGAACTGAACTTTGAAATCCATTAGAGTTCAAAGGTCAGAACTTATAAATTTTTCTCCCATTGGTTAATGGTAGAAGAACATGTAAACATATGTTGTCCTTCCTCCATTATTCTATTTTAATCCAATCAACCAACAGAGCTGTGATTAGAAGGATTAAAGAGCTTTATGCAGTAAGATGGAAACATTTCACTGCAGAGTATACAGATATACTACATGAATATACAAAATGATACCTTATGTCCTTGGGAAAAAATTAAAAATGAAGTACTCCCAATATTTATTAAATTCTTAAGTAAGAACTGCCTTCCCCTCCATCATTCCCTCAGAGAGGACTATGATTGTAGGATAACAAGATAGAAAATAAAAATCAATTAACTGTATTTAGAGAAGTGATCCATGTTTAGGGTAATATCAAAACATCCATTTTTACTTTTACAAGTAAAAAACCAATTCCCTTAAAACCATACTTCCTGCTCAACCTTCATACCTGCTTTGCTGAAAGCCCTGTCCTGAAAAGATGGCAGGGAACATTATTTGCTCATGTATTGAGAGAAGACTGAGAATACATGTAAAACACCACAGACCAAAAGCAAGTCTCCTACATGTTCTCTACTCTTGTTAGATCACTTGTAATAATCACATCAGCACCAGACTATTTACATGGCATAAACTCAGTGACTGTGAACACGAAGACTGCAATTCTAAAAAAATGCATGTGGAAGTTTAGATATCAGAGTGGCATCAGAGAAGTTGGCAGTTGCCATTGGAAATGATAAATAAAAATCAGTACTCAGAGACATATAGAACTCCTTCAAGGAGCAGGATAATACCATTTATGCTGAAGTTTCATACCTGCATCAAACCTGAAGCTTTAAAGAGCTCCTGAGGAGATCGGGTCCCAGAAATATTTGGAGAACGCAGTGACAATATTCGACTGTATACTTTGTTTCTTACCTGTTCAAACAGCATAAAAATATATATTTTAGATATTGAAGCTGACAAGTACACAATTTCACTGTTAGTTACAGTGCAAAGCAAATGGAACATGGTTACACTTTAAACATTTGTCTCTTGCTGTATAAGCCTTTGACACATGGATACAATATCCTTCAGTTTCAGGATATACATCGTGTAGTGACTTTTGTTGATGCTACAGTAAAAGAAATTCCACTAAATATTCTTCCAAGAAGGCTGCTATTCAAATAAGCTTTCACTATTTTCCTTACAAAACTAACACAAAGACTGATTTATTTAAAATGTTTTTCAGCTGTTATTCTTGAATTGACTGATGGTACGTAACTTTCCTTAAGTCCTGATATTCACCTTAGTTCCATGTTCAATGGATCATTTACATTAATGCAGGAGAAAAATAAAAGTTCATTAATTGTAAATCACAGAACAATATTATTTCTAACTTTGTATTTAAAAAAGTCTCTGTTATTAGTAATTAATTTACTTAGAAAATTTTTTTAATAGTGTAAGCTTCACAGAATCTTAGGGGTTGGTAGGAACCTCCAGAGATCATGAAGTCCAACCCCCCTGCCAAAGCAGGTTCAAGACATTCAGATTACTACTGATGTAATTTTAGTTGAATTACAGCTCTGTATCACTAAAAAGAGACAGGGAAAGTCTTGTTTTATTTATCTTTATTCAGTTTTCATACGTCAGACTGAGTTTTTTGGAGGCTGCAAATAATATAATCTTTAAGCATAGCAAATAATTCACCATTATTGTGCCAGTTTCATGAAAGACCCCAGATACAGATAAAGTCAGTGAACTAGAACTTGACACTTGTACTAATAACAGTAAACAAGAAAATCTAGCAAACACAGACCTCCTTATTGAAGTTGAGGAAGTAGTTGGTTTGATCTGTAAGGAAGATCTCCAAAGCTGACCTCCTCAGGTTGTACCGACGCAGATGTATCTCTCGAATTTGAGAAATGTGCCATTTGAAATCAAAACCAACCCCTAAGAAGAGCACTTGGATTACTGGATTTGGAATCAAAATCTTTTCAAAAACTTTCCTTATTCAAATAATGCAGTATTAAACACCCTACAGTCAACCATAAAAAGCATTTTTTATACATGGCTTGGTGAAACATTTTGCTTGGCAGCCTTACTAGCCTCATCTGCTCTACTACAGGAGAAAAAAAGACGGGCAATAACTAATAGGATGAAGAATCTGGTTTTGCTTTCTGATCAAAATACATTATGAATGTATTTTGTTGACAAAAAAATATGAACTGAAACATCTTTGCTTTCTTAATCAGGCTCAGCTTCTGATTAAGCTTCTGTGTAGAATTCTCAAAAGGTTAGCTTCTTGATCTATAGTTTCTCAAATTTTACCAACAATTTACTGTTTTCATGCTTAACCATGCATATTTCATTGAAGTTCCTTAAGTAAAAAAAAAAGCCATTAATTTTTACATACTGTTACTTACTCCTCCTCCTACTTAAAACTACAACTTACTACTCTTAATCAGCACATGAATGAAACATGTCATATAGAACAGCAATGTGGTTTAAGAAATAAATTAGAGGAAATAGCATGATGCTCATTAGCAGCATTGTCAGCAAATCAACTATTATTTTTATAGAAATAATCAACATAAGAGCTCAGTTTGCATAGTTTCAGATTATTTACTATAATTGGATTGGTCAGAGGCTGACCTTCAGGAACAATATTAAGTATAGATCCACACCCTACTTTTTTACAATTAGTTTGGTGCTAAATCTCTACTGAAAACAGAATTGCTGAATTGAAAATAAGAAGCCATTGGTTATGCTCACCCTCCTCTTTTTCGATGCTACCATCAAAGAAATATAGGTGCTGGGTAGTGACCTCCAGTCTGCCAGGTATCACATCAATTATTGTAATCAGTTCACAGTTTTCAGACAATATTAGCTTTTCTTTCTGACTCTGTTCATCCTTCTCATCCCTACCAAAAAAAGCAGGTGTTAGGGGTTGGGTAGGTTATACAGTTGCTTAGATACTTGGTACAGCTTAGAAAAGAATCTAATTTGAAAGACAAAAAATACACCACGCACAATTATATGAAACCACTTCCATTAGCATTTAGAAGTCTAGTAGACTGGTTTGAAAACATTTCTTAACATTGTTTTTCAGGCTTGCTATTTCAGTTTCAGGCACAATGAACTTGACTTCCTCTGAAGTACAAAAACAACAGGTTGCATTTCTTTCGTATTGAAGGTACTTGAGCGATCTGGCCTGAAGCTAATCCCTGGTTCCTGTTACTAAAGTGAACTTCAGACATATTTGAAGTAGTGGCTGATCTTAAGTCTACAGAGATGCTTTCAAAAGTTACTGAATGTTTGCTTGTGAGGTACAAGAGAATTCATCAGTATCACTAAAAAAAAAACAACAAACCACCTCCACATCTTCTGGGCTTCAACAGCATAGACACACAGGCACATGCACAGTAGCCAGAGTGAATGGAATCAAGTGTTTACCATCTCTTCCTCCTTGACCCCCACCTCTCTATTAAGAAAAAACTGAGAGGAAGAGTCTCCTAAAGTCCACAAACGAAGCACAGCTGGTCTTCTCCCCTGAATGCGACTATTAGATTACACTAGTTAGATATTCATGCTGTGCAACTGACAGCATAATGAACAGCTCTGGCTTCCCTGGACAAGAGCTGGTTCCAAACTGGTCCACACCCTCACAGGTTAGACCGTCTCCTCAGAACTACAACAAATGCACAGTGGGAAGCCTCAATAATCCTGCAATCTCAGACCAACTGAGAGCAGCGAATCACATATCCTCATAAATGCTTTCTCTGAACTTAATACACTCAGACTTCCTTTCCCCTGGTGCTCTTCATGCATCATTGTTTATAATGAGAAAGCAGCAGCTTTTCTGCTACACAAATTACTACAAAACCCTGGATTGGACTACTAATGACAAACAAAGAGGAAAGTTTTGCATGCTAATCAATTCTTGAAGTTGATTCCCTATTCCTTCCCACATACAAATTACATAAATGAATTTCAGCAGTTCATTGCTGTTGCACTTACATATTGGAACTGGCTGCTGTGTCTTCTTCTGGCAGTTCAAGCACATCATCTTCCAAGTCACTCACTTTCACCTGCTTCACCACCTCCAGAAGCAGAGACTCACTAGAGGGTTGTGTCTGGTACACACCTATCGTAACAGGTGTAACAGCTCAGAAAATTTTTGCTAATCCATTTTTAGAAAGTTAAACTACTGAGTGGATCTTCTACTGTTGAATGCTATCTTTAATCAAGAAGCAACTTCTTCATACTCTTTCAATACTTTAGAGGGCAAGCAGAACTTTTTAAAAATGCTCCATGAATTACATTCAAATATATGTCAAGTTAATTGGTAACGGTACATCTCAGAAAACAGTGAAATTTGACTGGTATTCACAATACATCAAAACGATTAAGGAACATTACAGCAAGAGGGTGGTGAGGCAGTAGAAGAGGCTGCCCAGAGATGTGGTAGATGTTCCAATCCTGGAGACTTTCAAGGCAAGGCTGGATCAGGCCCTGGACAACCTCATGTAATTATGGGTGTCCCCCTTCATTGCAGGGGAGTTGGACTAGATGACCTTCAACAGCCCTTTCCAACTCTAAGGATTCTACAATCTTATGTATGTATATAAATTACCTATATATAGAGAGAAATAAAATTTACATAACTATATGAGGAAAACAAAAACCCTAAAAACTGTATTCTAATGCAGACATTTCCATTAGGATATTCCATAGTGTTTTGCCAGATGCTCTTACAGCATGCAGGTTTCAGAGAAATGTACCTTCGTGGGGCTTTTTCTTGTTGTTGTTGTTTTTAGTTAATCTGGGTTTACAGGATCCAAGAAAGATATGCAACTGCCTATTATAAAACATAGGAGCTCTTTTTCCACCAAAAATACACACTTCAACGAACAAGAGGAAATTCTTCTTTCCATCGGGAAAAGAAGCTGCTTCAGGTCAAAGCATCACTGCTATGTTAAACATTATTACCGTAGAGGAAATAACAAAAAAAATATTATTTAACTACCTGTAACACACTGATTGTTAAAAACACAAGCATATCAGAGAAAGTCACAGAATCCAAGTAAACCATTAGGTATAACATTACCTAAATTATCTCTCAGGTCACTAGCATCCTGATGAGAGTTGAAGTTGTAATTCTGCACCAGTTTTAGTCTCATACGTGAAAAATTTTCAACATTTGAAAGTTTCCAGTGAACAGGATGCTGTTTCCTGAGAAAACAAGAATATCCATATAAATACTTCAAAGAAGGTAAAAACCTATGAGCAAAATGATTACAAAGAAATACGTATTTTAAAAAATCCTCAAGCCACCTATACATTGGTAGACTGCAAAACATAAAAGCTATAAATTGCATTTCAATAGTATGTCTTATTGCAGCTCTGATCATCCTAAAACATTTTGCATGCAGCATTCATTTTCAACTGCAATACAGCAAATTGTTTACACTAGAAGTTCCAGAAAGTCTTTAGTTAGAATTCACCCACAAGTTAGGGCAGGCAAAATGTAGCATTTTAAATTGACATCAGCTTCATGCACATAAAAACCTCTAACTTATTATTTTTAAAGACTATTCTCTCCATCCAAAAGAACCGTTGATGAGTAGAATATCTCAAGAGGGTTGTTTTGGTTATTTTTTGTCATGTTTTTTTTTAAAAGTGATGTTGATAATCAATTTGCATTTGTCACTCCAGGTAACCAGCTCAGCAGTACATTTCAAACTTCATATGTTTATAACTGAAATGCAGAAATCATTAAGGATACATTCAGTATTAAGTCCACATGTCAAGAATGGCTATTCAAGTCAATTTGACAAGGTTCTAGCCATATGAAATAGTAAGTTAATCACACGAACAAATTCCTTTCAAGCATCATATCCTGTTTGATTCAAGAAATTCACTTACATTTCAGACCAAGGACCACGTTCAGAGAGTAAATAAAGTTGGGCTGCTCTCCACTGTCTCAGAGTAGCTGTGTGTTGACTATGAAGTTGCTTTAGCATACTGTTATACCGCATGTTTTCCTGTCGAGCCTTTCGGCTGAACGGTTCCACAAAATGCTCCTGAAAGACCATTAAAAATAAATCTAACACTGAAAGAATGGTTTTGCAACTTGCAAGAATTCTTGCAGATGACAAATATATAGAAGTGGTTTAGCAGTAGACTTTTCTGAAAATGTAAGGCATTGCTTACAAGAGAGATTTTTGAAGACTTAATACTGTTTAACAGTTAATTCTAATGCTTGAACGGAATCTGAACCTTACACAGAAAGGTCAGTTTTCCCACGCAATAAATGGGACCTGCTAACTGTTCTAAAACATTCCCTAGAGTTGAGAGAATTTGAAATGTTAACTCATATCATAATGGAGGTTTTAATAATTCAAAACATACATCAAAGCGGAAAAAATGTAGCTTATAGCTAAGGATAATCCCAGGTTACTGTACTATGGAAGATCTGTCCTGAAATAATTCTGCTTACAGACAAGACTCTTAAACAAAAACAACAGAATTAAATCTTCTACATGTATATATAGTCAGACTCAATCTTCAACAGAACCACCAACATGCCTGCAGTAACTTGAATTCGGTTATTTTGGAATTCAATTTCTCCATTTTATTTTTTTATTAATCCTGAGACATAAGCTACTGAAAACCTTACCTGAAATTTCAGCTTGCTTTCTCCTCTCTCCCGATCTCGCTTGTGCATATTCACCATAAATGCCTCATAACAATCCTTCCAATAAACTGCCATCTGCTCATGACCATGTCTGAAGGAGTTTTCTTCATACTGCTTCATATTTGGAATAATCTGTTCCCATCAAAACAAAGTATGATTTCTGAATATGAACTCCTCTGCTCTAATGATGAAAACAAGTGTGAATGACATCAAAAGAGTTAACTACTCACATATTTATCAATATAAACCTTCCATTCATCAGATCGGCAATATTCTTGGAAGTCCTCGAAGAAAGAGGGGCTGCCATTGGTAGAAGGCAATGAAGGGAGATGCAGATTCATGAAGAGAAGTTCATAAATTTTGGATACCAGCGTCCGAACGAGTGGAATCAAAAATGAGTACGTTTCTGTCTTCTCTTCAATTGATCTACTTAAGATGCCTTCTAACTTCCCCAACAGGTAGCATGCTTCAGGTTGACTCTCTATTACTTTGGTCTGAAGAAGGGTGTTCAGTTTTGCTGCTGCCATAGCACAGACCTACATAGACAAACAACAAAGTGAGTGCAACTCAAAATAGTAATTTGGAGCACTTATCTTTTAGCACAGAAGTATTTACATACTCTGTTTGTAATCTCAGGTAGCCTAATGGCACATAAGCATCACATACAGGCACTGATCACTTAATTCAACCTGAGTCGGTTGCAACCTCAGTCACATAACTGCATTAAGGTAAGTATGTGCCTAAACAAACAAGTCTGGGTTTTCTGAAGGGTTCATTATTCCAAACACAGCTCTGCTAACTTTATGACAATTGTCCATTCAGCCTAACAGTCCAGATTCACATGCACTGAATCTATGCAAACCTGAAACCACTAACAAACATTTTATGGTAGAAATGAAAAGTTGCTATCAGGACTGCTATCTTACTGCTACTAGAAGCTACATAACCTCCAAGTTCAAACAGCTTGTTCTCTACCTCATTGACATATTCAAGATATGCACATCGATGGGACCACAGAGTAAGTTTGCAAATTTTTTTACTGGGGCTTACCATTTTCATGTAGAAGGATAAAAGACTGCCATCACTCTTCTCACTGGTACAAGCAGATCCTTCAGAATCAGAACAGTTACACCAAATACGCCCTTAAAATATATTGGAATTTGCAACAAACCTGTAAGTTGTCTTGTGCAATGAATCCAAGGAGCAACTGGACTTGCACCTGTGAAAACCAGGCTGCTTCTGGGCCAGCAGAGTACCAGACTGACAGGCTATCCATAAGAATCACTAATTCCTCCAATAGCTGTCGTAAAAGCAGAAGATTTTTGTAAAACAAATTACCAGTAACTATTCCAGATGGAGATGCAATCATTTCAAAGAGCTGTAGAATTCCCACTTCTAAGTTACCCAAAGCCATATCATCATCCTAAAAGATTGTAGCTAAACCAGTAATCTGAAAAAATTGACTGTAAAATACAACTAGCCTACTATGTTAACTCAAGTGTCTCCCGAATAAAGCCAAAACCAACATATTGTATATATGTCTATCTTCTTTAACTTACTCCAGGAAATGTCAACTCCTTAAAAAAGCTATAGATTCCTGCAGCAGGATTGCTACAATTGAAAAGACATTCTTATCAATCATGCAGACATTACACCAACAACCAATTTCTAGTTCAGTATTTATGGGTTTTCATTTTATCCTTTTATTTTGTGTTTTATGTGATGTGAGTAATGCCAATATAATTCACTAGCAACAGTAATATGTATTGTGCCTTGAGAAGTAAAGCAAGGCTTCATCAATGAATACTAAAAATGATGAGAAGTTTGAAGCTTCTTAACTACCCATACCTTACATTAGGATTTCTTTCTGAATCTCTCCTAACATAGAAACCAAAACCTGACAAAAACCTCACTACAAAATGAAGCTAATCATAAGATAATGACCCATTTTACCATCAAACATTTACTTAATAACATATCTTGGTGTATTCCCTAAAAAATTTCTAAAATATAAAATTACTACTCTGTTAAGCCTCAGACTCACAAGAAAGCTTCTGTAGCAAGCTGAAAGCTGCTTAAAATACTGCAGTGCTTTAAATTCTCCCTAGGCACAGTGGAAGACAATTTACAAAAGTGGTTGTTTTCAATTCAGAGATGGCAATAAGCACAACCCCCATTGCTCCAAAGTTCCTATCTCATTTCTAATTAGATTTCACAAAGCTAGACCATAACAAAAAGCAAGACCTTTACATAGAGCAGTCTTTAAAAAAAAAAAAAAAACACAAAGGAAAGCTTTACAATTACTCTGTTTTTTCACAAGCCTGCTGTATGGAGAGCAGCTTAGCAATTACTCCATTGAAGACTTAACATTACTTTTTTTTTTTTTTTTCAACAAATAACTCATATCTGCCAAAAATGGAAAAGCAAGGACAACACAGCACAAGAGGAAAGACTATTGTTGAAGTTACATAATTACATGAAGAAAGCAGGAAACAGTCAGGAAACAGATAGTTTCTCTACCTTACCACTTACTGTGATTGTTAGTTCTTTCCTCCCTCAGGGCTCCTGTTTCTGACTCCCTGCACGTATAAAACTGGGCATACATTCATAAGTAGCTCAATATTCCCTGTAGTAAGCTTTTAGGATTTTTCTCATTAAGGGACAATCTAATACGTTTCACTATGAACCACTACTCTCTAATATCTAGTTTAAAAACAAACACCTAGAGGAGATGACATTATCCACATTGACAACTTTTTCATTACTATTTCTACCCACAAAATTTCCATTATGCAGTTACCATACCTTTTCTGTCCATAAATTTGAGTTAACAAGTCCTTCTGCCTGCAGGAAATCTTTTACAATTAGTAAGAGCCGGAAAGCATTTTCAGAGTGTGTAGGGAGAGCTTTAGAATCTCTGTTGTCAGTGACTGACCATTCTAACATCTTCTCCAATAAGCTGCATGTAAAACAAAATCCCGAAGTAATTACTACATGTTCCAGTTGTAAGTGGCTTTAAAAAAATCCTATTAAGTATTTAATTGAATCTCTCAGTCCACAGCGATAACTGCTGTATTCTCAATAAGACAGAGATGTAAAAGTTTTTAAAGAGCACATGAAACTTGGAATACAGCTTTTCAAAACCTTAAAACCACATTACCTAATAGGTAGTAAAATATACTGATAGGACATGAAGATAGAGCTAAAAAAAAAATTGTATCTTGAGGGTAAACATCCATTCCTTCTTAGCCTTACTAAAGCCCACTTATTTTTTTCCTTTTTCATCAAAAGAAGGATAGAACCTGCCCATGAACAGTACACTCACTTGAGTTTTATTTCATCAGAAGGTCGCAGCAACTCATTAGATATTCCCAGTTTAGTCAGTGCAGAAAACACCTGTCCTCTCTCTACCCAAGCCTCATCATCAGATCTTTCAATGCCTTTCCACATTATGCACAGCAGGATGTCTGTAAGTAACTGTATCAGTTCATTATCACCCCCCTGCAAAAGAAAAGGAATATTTACAGCCTTTCAACTCCTATAAATCTTCACAGTTTCTCCTTCATCTTAGTCTCTCTATGCTTTCCACTTTTTTGTTTGAAAACTCTACAGTCTCAAGTCTAATAGCTAAATACACAAAATATGGGAAAAAGTGGCTTCCCAGAAACTGTAACATATATTGACTTCTACATCATTATTTAAACCTAACCCTTAACTGCCCTTTTGTTCTCCACCTCTGCACAAGCAATTCCAACCAAAAAGAGACATAACCCAGAGATGTCCCCACTGACTGTAAGAACATTATTGGCTATTTTCCTTCAGAAGATATAAGAATAAAAGGACAATGAAGACAATGATTATATGCCCATTGGGGATATAATTTGAAAGGAAAAAAATTGCAGTCATTAGGAGAAATTAACCACATAGGTAGAAAATTACTTACTCCTTGATTTTCAAATGAAGATAGATCAGCAGCACTGAAGCCCACATCGCTTATGACATCTAGCTCCTTTTCAGGCTGCCCAGAAAATGGTTTTCTGTTCTCTATAGGTGATGGTGTGCTGGGCAGGCTATCTGTCATCTGATTCACAACGTCAGCTAGTTCATAAGAGTCAACGCTGGATAGATCTAGACTCAGATGTGAAGGATTACTGCGCCACAAATCTTCTCGGTCCTCTGACTTGAAAGACATCTCTGCTGTGGATGCATCTTCCAGTGGCATAGCAGAGAAATGAGCTGGGACATCCAAGGATTTATTGTCTTCTAAACTCCACTGATCAAACAATCCATTTATAGATGCAAAGGTGTCAACTTTATCTCCCTCCATCTTATCAGCATGATATTTCTGAAGTTCTTCAGCAGGAGGATTTTTCTCCTCTTCCCTTGAGGAGTCAGCCCTGTTTTCTCTAAAGCCAATCCGGACCTCAGAATTTTCTTTCAGGAAGAGTCTGATCAAAGTGTCCTGCCAGCCCAGCTGCTGAGAAATCTGTTGTGCTGCATCCAGTTGGGAATGCAAAAGATGCAAAACCTAAGGATAGAAGATAGTTCACACCTACACATTAATTTTAGCTTGAAACTAAATTCTATCACTCATTCTATCTTTTAAATAAGATTTACGACCTTACAGCTTTACCTTTTTAGCAGCTTATAAAAGAGTCATATTGAATTAACAGAAAGCATATATATCACAAAAATCACTCAAAATTAGAAATGCATATAAGAGCAAAAAAAAATCCCAGGAATACAACATGGGGAAAAAAAAAAAAACAACTATCAATGTACATCAGTAAGTCCTCACTTTTCAGTCACTCTTCTACAGCAATTCCTAGAAAAGGCAATTATCAGAGCAAATAATCCCATTAACAAAATCCTAGCACGTTATATGCTTAATTAGAATCTATTAAACAGAAAAATTAAGAAAGCTAAAGTAAGCTATAATATTACTAGCTTATTGATAGCATACACGTGGCTTATTTTGAGAAACTTTGGTATAGAATATAGTTTCTTGGAACTACATTCAGTACTACCAATTCTAGTGATACAAGCCAGAGAGCTCATTTAAGAGTTATTACTTTTTCCATCTCCTCTCTGCATCCTTAAATACTCTTCTGAACCATTACATGTTCTATTAAAAGTAACGTTAAGAATGAAACAAAACCTTGAGCTTAAGCATCCTTTGAGAAAACTAATTCAAGTCAATACTTCTAAAACAAACAAAAAAATATGCTAGTTGAGAATCACTGGAGAGACTTGGGGTTTTGTTTTTTAAAAGATTTAAATATATGAAGTTCAACATCAAGTTCCATATTAGCTTTTTTCCTAACATCTTAAATCATTACTAAAGGAAAGTAGCAACAGCAGCAGCCAGTGTAGCTAAAACATCTCAAATAAGACATCACACAATATAGTTTATGGATTTAAGAGTATTCTATTTTTAAAGGTAACTAACCTTTCTACAGATAACCACTCTCATGTTTATATCTGATCTATGAGCCAGATGCACTACAGCTAAAAGATCTTTATAATTCACAGCAGGATCTGTGGAGAAGAAAAAAAACAAATCAAACTATTTCGTGCAAGTGATGTAACAGTTAAGTGTTAAAAATAGCTTTGGAAGTCACTTCCACAACCAGGAATGGCACAGGGAACATGCTTCAGGGAATTAAGAAAACAGCTGAGACTAACATGGACTGCAAGTAGAACAGATTCATAAAGTAACTTTTTCCTGAGCAAAAAGCAAGTGTATTTGCCTCTGAGCAAAGAGGCATTTACTAACAGTAGACAACACTTCCCCATTACCTGCATGGAGAACTTGGTTAAGAAGGTTTTTTATGAGAGAAATAGTAACTGAGGATTCATTCAGGAGGAGTCCAAGTCCAGAGTACCCCACTTCTCTGAGTCTCATACGGTGCTTACTACGTTCATAAACTTTAGTACATTTCAGCATCTCTTCCATAATCTGTGTGAAAAGGCACACAAAAGCAAAATAATGAGGAAGCATCTAGACTTCTTAAACTTAATTGCATATGACATAGCATACTAGTCCATAGTTTACAAAAAACCCTTTAATAAAAAATCAGACTCAATTTTAAAGGTCCCAATACTTCTAATGCTTGACATTAGGAGAGCACTAATCCCATTGCAACTACAGTGATTAGCTACATGTTGTTGCTTGCATATTAGAAAAAATTAAACTTGGATGACCAGCATCTTTGTAAGCATTTGCACTTCTGCAGTCTGACTACTGAAAAATACAAATCCATGCTCTGTTGATTAATTTATGAATATATAATTCATTTATTACCTTGAACACAAGTTCTCTAAGCCTGTCAGAGTACCTCTGGTGCAATAACAAAGCATAAAGAATATCAGCATTTCCTGGTTCAAAAAGCAATAAAAAAAGCTGATCTGGGGCTGAGCTGGAATGAAGAAGGCTGAACAGAACATCCAGGATGCCACAGAGCTGAAAATTAAGACAACTGGGTTAATCTAGAATTCATGCAGACTTTATTCTCCATCCAGAAAAAAAAAAATCCTTGCTCTTTAATTTCTATTCTTTCTTGCTATACAGTGTACATGGTCTGTTCACTGTTATCACATTTAAGTGGACATTTTTGCTATATGCAGAACACTATCAAGCTGTAAATGGAACTACAAATCAAGTTCAAGCACTAATAATGTCTATGAAATAGGAATTCACATCACTACAAAAATGATCAAAGACAATTCATTTTCTCTCATAACACACGAGAAAATAATTAAAAGTACAGCTACCAACAGAGCACTTTTGTAAGGATCTCCATGTAGCTGAGAAAGGTTATATGTAGAAGCACATCCAATTAGAACCATAAATCAATCATCTCTTTGCATGTTTTATCATACCTCCCTTTATACAAATAAGATTTCTAAACAGAACAATACAGAATATCCCAATTTGGAAAGGACCCTTAAGGATCAAGTCTAACTCCTGAACTACAACCAAATCACATACAGTTTATACTAATTTACACCACACCAGATACCTGTTCTTCTTCACTGGTAGCAGCTATGTATCCTACAATGCTCTGTATTTCTTCATGTGTTCCACCTTTGCTTAGAAAATATTTGATCAGTCCATAAAGGGATGTCTGTATAGTTCTCAGGTCATCAGGAGTTAAATCACTGTCTTTGCTGCCACTCCTAAACACCAACAGACAAGAAAGGAATTCTAAGCAAGTGCTCCATAATTCAGTAATAACTGAGTTGCACTTCAAATACTACAAGGATATAAATGAACTAAGTGTCTTAAAATGATAAGCAAGTAAAATGGAAACAAGTTCATGCATTTTTTGAAAATGAAATCAAGCAATAAAAGCCAGCCAGTTTTATTTCCTTTCTTACTAGAACAAGTGGGGGCAGAGGAGTAAAGAGGTGAACATGTGTAATATGATGGAAAATGCAGCAGTGACAACAGAGCCGCAAGGTTCCAGGCCACAGCAAATGAAGATTTGCTCAAATTGCAACAGCCATAGGCACAGAAATAAAGGAAAGAAGCTGCTTACATTCAGGAGACCTCAGGTATACAGGGATATCCAACAAGATACCCTTGTCTCCACTGCCAACCCTTAAATGGGATCTGGGAAGGGATGAGATCCTGGCTTACCCCTTCTGGTCACTCAGGTGAATTGACTGCTTTATACACACAAGTTTCCCTGGGTTGGCCCTGCCTCCCCCTCAGGTGCTCACTGTTTCAAGCCATGACTTAGCATTTCCACTACAACTTAACAGAACAACTGCATACAACAAAGGAAAAGTTAGAAAAGGTAAACTCATACCCATAATAAACTCTCAGTGTGTCTAGAAGAAACTGTACACCATACTTCTTTCTGAAGAGCCTTCTGCTGTCTTTGATGATCGTAGAAAGATACTGTATATGCCCTACAATATAAGGTCTCATATTAGAACCTAGAAAAATATTTACATCAAATGAGAAGTACTGTGTCTTTGTGCAGTTGCCCCATATCCAAGGACTTACCAATTCTGAAAGGGAAGTCCCCACTGTTCCAGATGCTGAAGTCAAAAAGTAAGTGTTGATACATCTGTTGCAGAAGTTGCAAGTTCTTTTCAACTGAGACTTGCTCTATCAACAGTTGTACAGCCATCAGTACATTCACATCCATTAGGACGCTTGGCACCTATCAAAACAACAGGTGTTAACACTCAAAATATGAAGTTTATTAGGATATTCTTTACTTTAAATAGTATTTTTTTTTTATTTAAGATTTTCTCTTTTACAGCAAGCCTGCTTTTAAGTAATATAACAAACAAAACAAGAACATGAATTATTCAAAATATTTCACTTTGTAGACCAAGGCCAGCTCTTTACACTTCTTTTCAGAAGCATAAGAAATGCACATATTAAGCAAACCTTTGAGGCAAACCTTGCATCCTAGACAAACTAAGAAGATGCCAAAGTAATTTGGACCTCATCTGCAACAATCATTTCTAAGGGTTGTTTCTCAAATTTATTCACCTTCTGTAACAAGGTTCCTAGGGTAGCAACTCCATGGGAGTGAATGAGATTTTCTTGATTAACATGGTGTCTCTGAATGAAGTGTTTAATCATCAAGATGAAAGTTGCAACAATGTTCTTCTCGAGGCGTGCCTCTGCAAAACAGAGCAGTACCAAAATCAGAATCAGTGAGACTCACGGTTTATCATTAGATAATTGTTTATCATAGGGAAAAAATAAAATCAAGTGTTTGCATTGAAAGCTACTCCCTGAACTTCCTTAACTCTTTCTGCATTTTTTTTCCTATCTGTAAGCTTTCTTCAGTGGCTTTTTCTCCCCCTGTGCAGAATCAGTCTTTTCAAATTTCTCCAGGAAAAAATGAAAACCTGATCCTTGCTTCACGTTTAAGGCTGTTACACAGAGACTTCCCTCCTTTTAGTCACAGTTTCTTGTATATGCTGCATCAGACATTCTCCTTCAGCAGTAACTAGACATAATATGCAAAAATTAATGAGAATGAGTGAGGAAACATATTTACTCAACCATTTCAAATTCAAAACAAATGAAAATGGTTCCCTTGCAAGATCTGTTTTCCTCTTGTTTTCTGCTAAGACAAAAATTAATCCCCAGCTTATACTAGCACAGTTTGGTGGTAATTAGATTTTTTTTTTTTCCCCCCTCCCTAGTTGTTCTTAAAGCTTCCTTTTAATTATATTGATTTGTTCATGTGAAAGGAGTAGGAGTCTGAACATTTTCCAAAGAAAATGAAAGTGTGACAGAGTCTATGCAGCATTGATCTGATATTCCACGATCTTTATTTGGCTGTCTGACCCAATATCCATGCTGTTGAAAACCTCCTCCTATTGATATTAGCAGTTTTTGAATAAAGAAAGCAATTTCTCAAAATAATCACAACAAGCTTTTCAAAAGAGAAGTAGAAATAATTGCATGCTTTGACACTAATACAATAGGAAATCATTAAGAGAAAAAACAATGCTAAATGCATTTATATTTCAAATAGATCATCAGACTCATTTTACATTGTGCTGAATTGTTGTTATGCAGCACCCCATCAAATGTCTAGAAAAAGCAACAGCCTGTCAAGCTTAAGTGCTGTTTTGGAAAAGCCAACGAGTAGAAGAATCACTTCTATTCACATAAAGATGTTTAATTAAAACCAAACTTTAAAAGTTTATCTCAGTTGTACTTTGATACCTACCTGATGCCTTTGTGGATGACAATACCACCCAGTCTCCCTCTACAGGAGTAACTACTTCAGGAGGTAGAGTTTCCCCTACAGACTTCTCAGGCATCTGTCTACCAAGAAAACTGATCTGCTCCAGCAACGGAAACAGCACATTTATTCCACCAATGCAGTTGATCATATCCTAAAATTAAGAGAAATGGAAGGAAAGCAATCGTAAATAAAATTCTCTAAATTATGCCACAGAAATTCACATTAGATAGGGAACTTTATACACTCACAAATCAATAAAGTTGTTTTATGCCTGTTTAAAACTGGTTTAAAAGACTGAGTTTAAACAGAGTATTGCCCAGATTCTAGGCACTGCAACTACACGACTTCCTGTCAGCTGTGTTTTTACATTTCATTCCATCCTCCTCAAAATAAACATGGGAACCTGAAGATTATAAATATCAAAGAATTTTCTATTAAGCATTTTGGAAAAACAGAGTAAAAACATTTATGATATCTAATTTACTTGCAGTAAAGAAATACTATATACATGCTTTAATCCTGATCCTGTAAGATCTCTACTTCAAGTAGTTAGAAAACGATATGATTTTTTTCAAATAATTTTGTGTACTTCAATTTTATCTCCACCGTTTTCCAAATTCAAGACTAAAAATCCACTTAATTTCCACTTCTCACAGATAACAATAATCAGCAAACTAGTCAGAGATGCTTGTTCACCTGCCCAACTTAGCCCAAGGAAAACCACTGCATACTAAAATTCTTAGAATCCAAAGTAAAACAATACCTGTAAGCCAATCACAGAACATCAGTTTTCCTTCCCACAAACACTGGGGAGAAGTAGAGGAACCCTTTTTTGCCTCCATCACATTCCACTTTTTAAATTGTTACTCTGTTTACATGCCCATATGATACCCCTGTCTCTGTTTAGATTTGCCTCAATAAACACGGGGATATTTAAAGAAAATTGAACAGTTAAGCTAAGAGGTTTTTTTAAATCTGTAAAATTTATCTCATGGGTGAAGATTTCCATATTAGCCGGGCAAAACAAGAAGCATCACACTTTTGAAAGCTGAAAAAAATTGAATTTCTACAAACCATAAGATAGCAGTAACTGTAGCTCCTTTCAAGCTGTCTCATCTCTTTAATGACTTGATCAGCTTTGTGTTTTATCCCACACTCTAGTCCTCAAGAAAGTGCCAATCCCCACTGTTTGTTAATGAACTAATTATCCTCCTGAGATTTGTACTTTCAATATACTTTCCCATACAGCTAGAGATATAAGCCATCCCCACCCACCTCTCTTCTATCTACTGCATAAAGACAACAAATTTTTGTATTTTCTAACTATTCACATCACAGCAAAATTAACTAGCAAACATTTCCATTTTCTTAACATTAATCTCTGTAAGTCAGAGCATATGCACAGTGTAGCCCAAACAACATTTCCTTACTAATTAGTTTGCTCATTGAGTTGATTGCATACTATTCGTAAGAAATTGGAAAATGATTTTAAACAAGAAAAATTAAAAATTGCATTTATTTGTTCACACACTTGTCTTCAAAACAAAACAAGAAATTGTCCATAGGATACATGCTCTGCCCTCAATCTTCGTTTCTGTTTCCGTTTTTTCGTTTGTTTTGTTTTTTTGTTTTTTTTTTTTTTTGCTTAAAGAGCCCTGCAAGCAAATGTCTATAGTATTAGTATGAGAATTAGTGTTTTCTATCTGAACAGAAAAATCATTAATCACAATGTTTCTTGATCAAGCTGTCTAGCTGCAAATAAGCCCATTTCCTCAGGCGGTGTTAAGACTGACTTTTTATCTGTTAAATGTCATTGGTATTATGACAATAACTTCTAGCATTCCAAAAGTTAGGTGAATGTAGGAAAACTGTCACATAAACAACAGCTTCTGCTTGTTCAGTAAGCACTTACCTTGATGTCCCAGTTCACTACTTTGTTTCCAGTTAGTCTTCCATGCAAGAGATTTGCCGACAGGTCAAGACAAATTGGATTTCTGCAGGCCTGAGAAGTAAGGAGGCTACAGTATCATTTAGGAAACAACAGATCCTTGAAAATGCAGAAAGCTTTGAAATAACGCATAATAGTTAGTGTCATCGTGTTGATAGGATGTTGTTTAAACAACTTGGGAATCCTAGAAAATTTATGTCATCTTAGATTTGACTTCTACAAAATAATTTTGTCCTTTTGCTAAACAAGAATAACATCTATTGCCCTTCCCCAAAATTCTAGTCTAAGAAAGCTTTTGCTACCCTGCATCTTCCCATTACCATTGTGTAAAAAAAGCCAAAATGGTACACTTAATATGTTAATGTTAAATGTTCTTACATGTTAATGGTACATTAGTTGGTTCTAATTCTAAAAGAATTTTCTGAAAGAAAAAACCATTCAAGATAAGTTCTGAAATTACTTCACACTGCAAAAGCAACAGAAAAATCCGTATTGTTCCATACCTTTGGCGTGTAATGCAGCAACACCTTACTGGGGAGATCTGCTACTTCAGGCTCTTGAGATTTCCATGGAGTTAAACAGTTTGGACCTATAAATACATTGCTTTTAATTTTTAAGACTTCACTGGATGTTAACTTTCATAAATTTTATACAACTATTCTTTGTTATGGCAGGATACTCTGAACCATACTTATTTGAGATATGCTTTAAAGTAATATTATGAAGTTATTCATTCCATAGGGTTCTTATTAAAAGCAAATACATATTCTTGATAAAAAGCCAAACTATACAATATTTTGGACACTTGAACAGAAATATTTCTTTACAAACATCTATACTTGCCACCAACCTAACAAAAAGCTCAAATAGCCAGACAGTAAGAAATATTCAAGTCAACTTTATTTAGCAACATAAAAATACTTCCTTTAAATGGTTGAAGTACTTGCTAATCTCTAACAATCCCATGTCATTATTGAACTTCACTTAATACTTCAGTAAAACAGATCAATAATTTATTTTTATTTTAAAATCACAGTTAATTGATTTTTCATGGAAAAATCCTAAAGTGTAAATCACCTCAGTGGGTTGTCAACAAGAGCAATACTTTAAAAAGACCTTCAATTATAAGGTCAATTGTAGGCAAACAGTGAAAAAAAAGAAAAGTGAAAATATACTTAACATCCAGATTTTGGCAAGCCTGTACATAAATAAATAGATGAGCTTATGGAAACCTAATATTTTAACTTAAATAAAAATCCTTATCATTTATTTCTGAGCTTCTTATAGAGCCCTCTCACTTATGTTAGTTCTAAAATTATTTTGGACTGTAACTTGTCTGTCATGTCATTACATGTCTGTGTACAGCAAATCTGTAAGTGATGTTGTCCCTAACTCAACCATTTTGTTTCACTAAAAATTAGTATAATCATTACTTACCTGCCAAATACAATGCTTTCACCTGAGGGGGTTGCAGTGCTTCATGAAAAATGATAACTGAACCAAGCTGGCCCTCCAACGATGTTGGGCATCCCCATTCACTGTCCTGAGTCCCTGCTGAGATCATCTTGGTGATGAGTTCTGGTTTTGCAAGCATCCCACCCCAGCTTCCTGGAGAGAGAATGCCCCCAAGTGATGTACGGTGAGGCATGACAGGGGAAGAAAAAGGTGGATCTGGTATCTGAGATGGAGGAGGAGTTGTTGTTCTTTGACCAGCTGAACCAATGCAGCAAGAAGTAAAAGGCTGTAGAAGCAAGAATAGAAGAAAAAACAAAACACACACTGAGTTTAAGTCTATGTTCCTTTTCCACCTCTGCTTCAACTATTTTACGAAGCAAATCTGAAGACTATCTCTGTCAAATCTGAACTAAATAAATTAAACCAAGAACAGCAAGTACTGGCACACTCTGGAGAATCCAAAAGAAAAGAACACATACTTCTCACAACAGCAGAGTGCTGCTAATTCAGTTGAAAACAATTTGGTCATTTCAACTATTGTGTGACAAAAAAGGCTGCCAGGAACAGAGCCTGGACAGTACTCTGGTAAGATACTCTAGTAAACATTCTTCTTCTGGATTGTATTTGAAAGTACTAGCCTGTTATGCCTGCTATATGTATCAATTATTTACCACTTGAACAGAAGCCCTCAGAGGAAGATTACCAACCCCACATATAGATATCTTCTCTATTGTGCTTATTTTACAAGTAGGCCAAAACCCAGAGTTCTATCTTGCAACATACTTTTTGAAGTGTTATACTGATTTCACTATTACAGTGTTTAATTTAAATGCTTACTAAAACTACTCAAAATACTTACATATTAAATTAGGACTTGAACAGGGGAAGAATGGTAAGTATTATAGCCCAGGTTAGAAAGGATTCATCCCACACAAAGAACTTAAGATGCCAGGTTCTCATTTTGTTGCTAGTGTTCATGCTTATCCAAGTATGATATAAGATGGTAACAGGTATAAGATCAGCACGTGTTATGGGAACACATAGAAAATATTAATAAAATGAATGGCCACTGAAAACAAGATGGAATATTTCTCACTGGGGCTGTCACAATACTTGCAGAGCTGACTAACCAGAAATTCTATCATAGGGCTCTGGTCCTGAAAAACCCCACTATTTAACCAAGCTGATATTTTTCCCAGCTTGTTTTTAAAACTAAGATGACTAAACAAACATTAATTAATGGTTAGTTCCACTTTTTCTCCACTATGATACCTTGGCCACTATCTAGACTTGAACCAACTTAGTAACAATGCTCTAAACTACCTTTAACTCTTACTGAGTTTCCAAACATAAAAAAAGCCAACTATGTTCTCATTCTTCTATGAAGTTCATCAGGACAGGTGTATGACACAGAAGGTGAACTTACTTCATTCATGGCAGGGAATCGAAGTGGGGCAGAGATCTTCTGCTGTCCATTGACGTAGATGTACACAATGCTCTGACCAAAGGGTCTCTTTCCAGGCATGTGAACAATACTTATGTTGTGCTGATTAATAAATTCATAAAGTTATTAAAAAGCAGTAAAATGATAATACACAACCATTTAACCTCACCTTCACTAATTTGATGAAGAAATGATTAACGAAAATCCTTAGGAAAATAAATCCAAAGTAGCTGGTCTGACCTCGTTGATATCAGCTCTTCTTTTAAGCATTTTACTTTTAAACTTTTTTTTTTTTTTTTTTTTTTTTAAGAAAAGAGGTATAGGTTCTTACAAGACAATGCACATTAGTCCTTAGAATAGAATAAGTTACAGCAGAAACAATAGTATGCACACAACACTACAGCTGTTTGTTTGAATACAAAAAAGATCCATATATTAAAAAACTCCCATATAAAACACACATTTAAAAAACACTATAACCAGCTTATGAATAAGAACAGCTAAAACAACAGGCATAATTTATTTTAAATACTAATTTATGTAAAAAGCACTCTATTATCTGAGTTTAGATTTGTTCTTACACAGTTAAGTATAATAAAATAGATCACTTATAAAATAGCAATCAAACTTGCTACTTCTGAGCTAACACTACTATGCTAAACAGTGTTTTTCAGCATCACATCTTACCCAGAGTGAGTCAAAAAAACAGTGGTCAGGCAGCATCACTGTCGCATATTCCCTCTTTGTGCAAACTGCTACCACCAATACTCCAGAGCATGTGATAAAGGCTTCAAAACCCATACCGCTTCCTGTAAAAAAGCTATAGAATGACAAAACAAACAAGCTAAGGACTTGCTTCACCATACATACTGTAAGTCACATAACAGTATTTTCACTGAGGAGAGAAACAACTTGAGCTTTTTGTTGCTGTTCACATCATTATCTGCCTAGCTATTACTTCTGTTCAAAAGAATAAGACAAATCTCACAACAAAGGAACCCCAGGACAGCTAGGACAAAGGCATCCCCCACATCTCTCGAAGAAGCTTGTTGCTATCCAACTACTGACTGTTGCAGTCTGAGAGCCACAATGTTCTACTAAAGAAGATATTAAAAGGCCTGCAAACAGTGGTGTTTGCTGTTAATTGTGTCCATCAGCCCCATTAAAGCTGCTAATAATGCATGCAGCTAGGTGAGATTGCTGGCATAGCTAGTAGATGTGTTCTCTTAATTTAATAGTTCTACATCATACCACTGCATATGAAGGTTTTTATTTTAAAGATCAAGACACTAAATGGAATAATTCAGAAATTCAGAATGCTTGTACGTATAATGTTACAGCCAAATCTGGTTTAAAACTGATGAGACAGTAAGTGTAGATTTAAAAATATTTTTAAATCTGTGATTACCTATAAGCAAGAATTTTAATGCAAAATATAAACATAGTCATGGTTAAATAGCTTATTTCACTCTATCATGAAGATCAGCTGTAAGCAGCTATCTATAAATAAACCTTGCACGAACAGGCTTGCCTTGAGAAACCTGGCATTCTTTTTAAGTGCTTGAATACAGAAAACTATATATAAACCGTGAAGTATTATCAAAGCCTGCTATAATCCCTTGGGTACTGTGACTCCAAGTGGAGGCATTAACTACTGTATTATCAAATATTTATTGGTATAAAACACAAATGTGACACTGATGTTATAGAGGGGAAAGTGATGCACACTGCCCTTTGGGATAGGAAAGGGGGTGATCATTCTGGATTTCTTGGAACCCAGACAAACCTTCCCCACTAATTGCCATGCTGCAACAAGACTAAGCTGAATGCTGGAACCTCCAGAGTCAAGCCAGAGAAGAGGACAATTTTTCTCTTGCAACACAATAACACCAGACCCCATATCAGTTGGAAGAACATAGAGCACATTGCCTGTCTTGGCTGCACTTTCCCACCGCACCCACCATACAGTCCAGATTTGGCACCTTCTGGCTTCCATCTGTTCACACCAGTAAAAGATGAATTGGGTGTGCAACATTTTTCTATCATCATCACAGCTGTGACCATCTCAATTGGTGCAGATTTTTATGAGAATGAACATCACTGGTGAAAATGCATAGCTAATTGTGGTGACTGTAGAAAAAGTGTTTTGCAGCTAAGAATTTGCTCTATTGCCTTTTTAAAGTTTGTGGCACAATTCCACCACAGATTGTTCTGTTTTGAGGTGCTTTGCTTTTTCTGGTTGTTGTTTTTAAGCTATATACCTTAACAATTCAGAGTTGTGGATAATGAAACTGCAAACAAGAAACTGTAGAGGAAGCAGTGTAATTGAGAAGCTACGTGCTTACTTCTGTAACACAGCCTGGCTTTGAAGACAGATGAAGCTTCTCCCTTCCACAAAATAAACAAATCAAGTGCTTTATATTGCATTCTATGAAAGAACAGGTACCACACAGACTAGGAGGTACCACATATCACATTCCACAAGGAACAGACAACCTAGATTTGTACTGTTGAAGCCATTATGGTAATCATACCTATACAGTTGCTTCCGCTTGCCAGTTTTGCTAGCTGTGCTAGGGTCCACCTGGTCTTGATCAAGGCAGAGCCAAGCATTGAAAGAAAATGCAGAGCCTGGCCACCTCTGAATTGATGGAACAGCAATTCCCGCCATGCTGTGACACAAGTTGAAATACTGCAAGGCACTAGCCATGCCTTGTTTCCGAGCCATTGCCAGAATGGCTCGCATCACTGGAATAACATAAGGGTGAGCCTGTTTTGGCTCCTCGGTTCTAAGGAGCCGTATTAGTTGAAGCAGTTCTTCTGACCCCATTGAGTGGCTCCCTAAAGAGCCCAGAAGGGCAATCAGGTTCTCTGCACAAGTGCAATGGAGTGCAGAGTGGTGATTTAGTGTCTCGATGATACGGATGACCATGTCTGCATTGACACACGTGGCACGACTCTGCCTGTTAATACAGCAGATCCGCCTCAACCAATTTGAAATGAAAATCTGCAGGTCATGTGACTCAAGCTCTGGAAGCCATTGGATAAGCAGCAATAATGGCTGGACATTACTAATGCCTAATATCCCAACAGCCATGTGGTCACCTTCAACAGCCTGAAAAACAAAGAAATCAAACATGAAATACAGTCAAGAAGAAATACTGTTGAAGAGACACAGCATTCCAGACAGCATTCACAGTATATCTCACCATATTCATGAGTTCTTCCAGCAGCTCCCGTGAGGGCTGACCCAGTGACTTAAGTACCTCGTAGATATGTGCATAACCGATTCTCTCCTTGAAGACCTCCTGAGGATAAAAATCCAGTCTCACTAACAAATGAAATAGACACAAACAGCTCATCTACTGCAACAAAGTTTACTTGAAAACAATATTAGACTCAAGGATTAGAATGTAAGAATTGTATTTTTTTTGTTCAGCACAGTGGACATACTATGAAAGGATTTCTATCTCTAGCATGCTGTAAATAAGAACGAACTCACTGCAGCATGCAGATAAACAAATGTAAGACCAAAGAAGTAATTACAAAAAGTATTTCTTTGGTATACTCAAATGTTAAATCTATCGCAAGTTATTAATAACTTTATTTTTAATGCAAACTGAAGCTTGAAATGAAGTTACTATTTTGAGAATTAAGAATCTAGATACTGACTTTTGAATGAAAGATCTTCTAGACCAGCTTGATTAGAAATCACTCATTTTAAATAATTCAAAAAATTAGATAAGTGTTCCAGTAATGATTTTCTGAAAATGAATTGATTTTACATGAAGAAAAGTGACACGAGCCACAAAGCCTAGAACATACTACATAGCATCTGTTTACTGTTTGGTTAGTGAATATCCAACGCATCACAAAACAAATACTATCCTCCCAGAAGTACTCTGCACTGAAATTAGAACAGATGGATGAATCTGCCAGTAGAAGTGAAAATTACTTAAGTAAACAGGGGAAAAAATTACACACTGTAATGGAAGTATAGCTGAAAATTTTACTGGCACTTTGTGGATTACAGTCAATCCTCCATTCTGTCACACAGCATTTCCCCAGACTTCCAAGTGTCAGTGGAGATGCAAGTACTCTGATACATGCTCTGGAGGAGCCTGATTTACTACTTTGTCATTTCTAACTGAGAATGTACTACAAGCAGCAACTGAATCAAGCTACTTCCACTCTGTGACCTGCAGTGTGCCAGGAGTCATTCAAACATGGGATTAATCTAATGAATTCAGCAATCTAAAAATAAATCTACTACTCTTCCATGGCTTTATATTTCAGTCAGATTCACAAACTAGTCATTGCTTGTTAATTTATCAAGCCACAGGAATAATCACACAGGAAAGGCAGGGGAAAAGCAAGATTGCCATTTAGACAGCAATATGATCTTGGATTACAGACATAATAACAAACTAACTCCTTCCTGAAGCTATATTTTGCAAAATTTGTTAATTCTAATCCAAATTTTCATGGTAAGTAATTATGTAATCTCCTTAAAAAGGTTCCAGTTACCATTTGCACTCCAGTTTTCCAGTTCTCATACAAAGATGTCTATTTGTTTCTAATGGTTGAAACACAGGATACTCAGTCCATTGCTCCTATCTGACAGGAATTAGTGATCACAAGCTACTCAACCTAATTACTAAAACTCCAAGGATTTAAAAAAAAAAAAAAAAAAAGAAAAGAAAAGCTAGACAAAATTAAGAGGCCTATCACAAGAAGATAGCTGCATGCATAGTTACCTTAGCAGCTGGAGACTTGTGCATTACTGCTGTGAGAGCCTGAATGGTTGATACTGCCAAGCAGTCTAGACGTCCCTGAAATACCTGAAAGCAGCAAATACAGTGGTTACATACAAATGCATAAAGGCAATTCTGCTCCAAAACTGTACTGTGCCCTCCTGCCAGGATGAAAATGGAGTTTACTAGCATGCTTCAAAAATCATCTCCACCAATAATGATTTCAAAGTACCCCATAGCCTATGAGAAAGATTACATTAACAGCAGACAACACTTCTAGAGAAGGAGAGAAGCCTTCACAAAACTCATTTCACTTCAAATGCTCTGATGGACAAACACGTTTTCCTCATGCTGCTAATGGACAACCTCAAGAGGGAGGAAGGAAAACAAATTAAGAAATCTCTTGTATTGTGTGCTGCTAAACAATCAGGCATCTGCAGTACATATAGAGTATGTTCTTTTCCATAAGTCCCTACACAATGCAACACACTAATGGTAAGAGATTACTCACACCAGCACAGTAAAGTGGCTTTCTCACCCGTATTCTTATCTCAATCATCAACTTTCCAATTTCATATTAACTTTTGAGTTTGTTTTTTTTTTTTCCCCTCTGTTAATTTCTGTTAATAGTAATATTTCTATCATGGTCTTAAGGACAAAAACAAGCAGTATTTCAGGTCCATCAGTAAACCTAATGAGCAAGACTGTACAAACAGTTCCACCACCTCTGAATATTCTATATATCAGACATTTTGAAAATGAAATGTCAAGAATCAGAAGACTGTTAGACGTGAAGAAATGTTTACATGCAGTTAATGTTGCACTGAGTTTCTAAAAAAGCCAAAGCCATTTGTTAGAATCACAATTTGTAGATTACCATACCTTGTACTTAGCACCATTACATTTTTAATCAGAACAAATCATTCTACCACAAAATCAATACAACTTGCATGTGATACTTTCCACAACATTACGTCAAAATTAAAGCAACAGGCTATTCCTACCTCCCTGATTCAGCCTGTCCATTGATTTGTGAACATCTGCTCTTGATGACAAGCAAAGAATCAGGACATCAAATACAACCATTGAGATTCACAAACAAGGCCCCAGAATCCAAAACACCACAGTGCTGAGACAAAGAAGCAAAAAAAAAAAAAAAAAAAAAAAAAAAAAAGGAAAGGAAGGGAAAAAAAATCACCACCAGGTTAATAGAATTATTTGGATTCCATTCATGTACTTCACCTTTTCCTTAAAAGATGCAAAACTGATGCTCAATCTACTGAAATATTTGCAACTTGAAGTAGATTAATAAAAGCAAAGTTGAATTCAGTCTGTTAATTGGGAAATAACTTTCCACAGATGGAAAATACTAATGTCTGCAGAAACAAGATCATCTTGCCACAGAAGACTTAAAAAGGATCATTAAGGTGAAGCACAGGAATCAGTTTTCCTGTCATTGTGTTTTGACCTCAATTGAAGCAAAGTACAGATTAGGTAGATACCTGGTCCTCATTCATTTCTGTCAGTAATTTGTTGGCAAGGTCTTTTTCACTCTTGTCTGCCACTTTATTGTTAGCATTTAAAAACAGCTGTTAGAAACAGAGACAAGAATAATGGAAATAATTGCATTACATAATTATCCTCCCATCATACCTGTGGAGGCTGCCTCAGGATTTGTGTCTGACATACAAGAAACAAGTTCTCACATTGGTGAGACACATTCCCCCGCTAACATTAGTTGTCTGTTAATTCTTAGAATATTGAAGATTACAGTTTTGCTAAGCAGTAATTGCATTTTTTGTCCACAATTAGATGAAAACATGTCACTATTGAGACAAGAAAACAGACCTACATGGATGTTATACTGCTTACCAGCTTAGCAACAATTAGTTTATTTACCATGTGCAATACAACAAAAATTCACTTTAAAGAAATAAAAACAACAGTGGACCACTAGCAAAGAAATGGATACAGATGCCTCAAGGCTGTCCATTTATGCCTTATCCTATGTAACAGCTGAAGATATGTAGTCAAAATATTTACATCAAGCAGCAACAGCAGTAGAATATTTTGATCACATAAGCCTTCAGAACAGAAGAAAAGCAAAACTACGTCTGGTAACACTCTAAGAATCTGTCAGGCTGTAAATAAAACATATGCCTGCATTTTCAGCTAAGAAATTTATCCCTAGTCTGTACCTGAATTTGCAACATCGAAGTTGACTCCAGTACCTTCATAATCCACTGCACTCACTTTGTGAGTATAGGTCAGCCACAATCTAATCATGACTACAGCTTTTCTTCTGTTTATATACTCCAAAGTGCTGTTAAAAATCCCCTATAAAAAATGTTTTAAAGGTACCTAAGAAGCACAAAACCAAACAAAAAACCCCAACACTTTCTATCAGTGGGTAAGAATGAAACATTAACCATTTCTTCTTCATGCATCTTCTCCTAGTACCTTACTCAGGTATTCCTTCTGAAGATGAGTAAACACTATGAATCAGCTTTCACAAGATAGAACAAAGAAAATACTCAAAATATTGTTTAGACTTACACAAGTGTAAGCCTACACAGAAACACAAGTCAGTCTGAAGTACATCACAGTCAAGAGTACACATCACAGAATTATGACAACATCTCAGAGGCTTATAGCATTAGCAAGTGAATATAAGAACAAAAGCAAAGGCAGACATAGAAAAAACAAATTTTTCAGATTTGTTAATTCAGCCCTATCAATGCAAGTAAAAATTCTTCTATTTCAAGCCGTTCAGACAATAACCACGTGCTTTTAACCAGACACACTGCTAGAGATGATTGCACTTTGCTCAAAGTCTGATCCCTAGATTCTTAACAGTATGTACAAGCAGCTACTTGAAAACTTAGGACAGACTGAGCCCCTTTTGGTATCTCTAAAGTTTAGTCCCTTACTTGAATATCACAAGGCAAAAGGCAACATTTAGATCAACAGAACTTAACTGAACAGTTTCAAAAAGCTCTTGTGCAGATCCGTAATCCTAGAGCATAGTTAAGTGAAGACAATTTTGTCCATAAGGCTTAAAACCAACAGTTGCAAAAAAAACCTATATTTTAGAAGACTGCTGGACAGTAGATGACTTCAAAGGTGACTAGAACTATGGGTTTGAATATCTCAAGATACCTATAGCAAAAATTGTGGTAGGGATTTTCTTTAACCCCTCTTTTCCATGAAAATTTCTCTCTTCAAATTTGCTGAAGATCCGAGAAATTCCTGACTTTCATATTGTCTGTACTCTCCTTTTCACCTGATACAGAGCTGCAGAAATATGCTTCATGTAGCCCTGCCAGTGAATCCAGCAGCAAAATTTTCATAGGTAAGAAAAAAATATGACCAGAAACAGAATCATCTTCCTACATTAACAAGAATAAATCCTACTTCCACTGCTAAATTCATCTTTGCTATTTCAAAAAACAAGTATGAAGATGCACTGAAAAATATAACTTCATCCCCCCTCCCTCCTTTATCATTCTTGGGGCTATTTCCACTACAAAGGTTAAAAAATGCCATGTAGCAGTCTGGAAGTACTGAGACTCAATTGATCACAGTAGTATGCAAGGCTTTCAGAGGGAAAAAGGTTCCAACAGTACATTTTACGACAGACAAGAAGGCAGACTAAAAATGAAGAGAACAAGCAAAAAAAAAAAAAAAAAAAGCAGGCAAAACCTAATAGAGTAGCTGTTCCTGCTTTCCAAAGTTCTAATTCCCACTTGTTCAAATGAGAACAGGAACAAAGACAGATTCTACAGTAAGTAAATATCATAATGCTTAATAACCAAATAAGAAATTAGGAGCTAAGTTTCTTACAGAGTACAAGGTCAGTACAGAAATAGGCGCAGATGTCCAAGCAGAATAATGGAAAAGTGAAATAAAGTATTTTTAGGAGAAGACTGGAGATAAACAAAAACAACCCACTGACATTATTCAAAGCATTTCAAGGAAACTGGCCACTAATTATAACAACTAAATCCCAATCCAAGGACATTTTTCATATATTGCTGCAATGAAATCCCAATCCCAAATAAAAACTGATAGTTGATAAATCAAATTGTATTCCGTAGATTACAATATCTAGTATTAGAAGAGCTCAAAATAGCAATGCCACTAACGTATCAGAAAAATAGAATGAAAATATTCCAGAGTTGCATTGTATTTGCATTGTATCCGTGCTCTTTTGCAGAGGTTGAGAAAAATGTACGAAGGAATCAGTGAAAGACATTGGCTAGCAAATTATGAAGTTCTATCTGGGATTGAGACAAAAAGAGATTTGTCTAAATGCTAGATCCTATGGGAAAAGAGAACAAAAATTTTGTTATAGAAGTGAAGATAAAATAAAATTTACCTTGCAGTTCTGCAACAGTCGAATGAGATGCTCAAAGCAGTTACTGTTAAGGAAAATTGCCTGTAGAACAGGCCTGTCTGTGCAGTCTAACATGGCTGTGATTGTATCTACAAAATTAAAATGGAACTGACATTAAAACCAAAGCACTTGCCAAATCCATTAAGCTCTTTTTCCCATACTACACCTGTAAGAGGATTAGAAAAGGTATATAATAAGCATGGGAATAAAAAAAACATATTTTAAAATAAACTATACATCATGAGAATTCTGAGGTGATTGACACAGAGTACTAAGCCCAATACTCAACAGTTTGACACTGAAAACTGTCAGGTAACCTACTATATGTAGTGTAGTAGAATAGCTACACAATACATTTGATAGCTTTCAGATCCTGCTTGAAGTCCCTGTCATTGAGTACCTAACCTCTATGCCCTCTATTAGAAGCACACAAACACTAGTTTCCTCAAAAATTTTCTCTGCATTATACAGATGCCTTTTACTGTAAGTGATCACCACCTCAAAGCTACTCGTGTTTCCTTGGAAGTCCAGGGTAAGAAAATACTTGCATTTATATTTGCCATTCCAAACAAAGTAAAAAAAACATTCACAAATACTAAATGTTTATCTAACAACTCAGCACCAACACTTTAAGGACCAACATCTTTGCCAATGTTTGCAGTAATTCCATCTGAAAAGCAAACTACCACAAAACAGCCATCATGAGGATATTTTATTAGAAATCCTCCTCACTCTGTAGTTAAGGTGCTGTCATTGTTGCCTAGCAATTTTTTTTTTTTTTTTAAATAGAGACTGGTAGTCCATGAACCTTGATACTCTGGTTAACTATGAATATGAAATAGAATATATTTAAAGAAGTGTCAATGAGAAAAAACATTTGAAGGTTTACCATTATGTAAATAAGTGAACATTTGTACAACTTTCAGTTATATTAATACAACAATTCAATCATTATTTGTTTCTAAGTTATTATCCACAGACATTTAAAGAAACTGCACAATTGAGTACTTACTCAACATTTGGATCTGTAGTGCTATGAACCTGCTCTCCCACTGCCTACATCGCCTTGGTTTAGGTAAAGCTGAATGGTCTGAATTAAGCAACTTGAAATAGTTCTCCAGTATTGTACTGGTCTCCACCTGACGCTGGTCAGAACTGCTGTTAAGTAGAATGTGGACAACTTCTGTGAGGCACTTCAGAGTAAGCTCTGCCTTTCTGCTCACTTCCTCAGGGCTCCCATCATCCCAGTTATCACAGTCTGCTAAAATACGCATCAAGACTTCCATGGTAGCAGGAGATACTGCTTGCAGAGCGTTCCTCTGAAACACATGGACAAAAAGAATTAAGGGGAATAAAAACGTAACTCAGAATTGCTGATTTGAAGACACCTGAATCCTACAACATTCACTATTGCTTCCATTTTAATTTATATACTGTACTTGTTAAACACGCTACTTGGATTATTGGCTATAGATGAAATGCAGCCTACCTTGTGCACTTAATAAGGCTTTCTTTTTCAAACAATATTTATAGGGTAAAGAAAAGCTCATTTAAATTGACATTACAATATTCTTACCAAGTACCATTCAGATAACATATTAATTCTAAATAAACCTTAATTCAAAGTTTCATTTTAGGTCCCCACTTTCATAGGCTCAATACTTTAAAACAAATATTTATCTGGGTCCTGAATGCCTACCCCTCAACTTGCTTCCTGGACTCTGACTGGATAGGCCTCAGGGTCACACTACATCTGGAGGAGTACAGCCTCATAAAGCACAGCAAGAAGTCTTGTCAGGATCTCCCCACCTTGTCTAGGGATCTTGCATTCAAGCCATGGCTCCCAACATTTTACCTGCCTCAACAGTGTAGTTTAGCAGCCATGCCCCTGCCAGGCCATGTACCCCCTTGTTTCTGACCCACTGTTCAGCTTCGTGACTTCAGACCTGCTTTGTCACTATGGATAGGTCTGGGACCAGAAGTAACATTTACTAAGCAGAACATTACAGAAGTCAGCCCATGAGAGCATACACTGGCTTTGTTGATGATTAACTTTTTTTTTTTTTTTTTCAGATATTCTCTTTTCTTCATGTTATTTTAAAGGTCTTACGGACCTTCCAAACTTCGAAGCCCTTGTATTCCCTTCTGAAACAATGGGAATCTAGATGTCATGTAATTATATGAAATCTAAAAAATTATATAAAAAACTCTGCAGGTGGAAGCAGTCTAGTTACTCACTTTTCTATGTATGTGAAGACATTATACTTAGTTCATAAGAATGTGTAGTTATTGTAAAAAGCAGCCTTCTGTTGCTTTCTGAAAACAGAACCTAGCTTGTAGTATTTAGATACTACTGCACAGAACAACTCTAAACTTCACAAGATAAATGACTAATACGTAGTAAATAAATTCTCCTTGATTATGGGATATTTATAAGCTTTGAGTAATGAAGATCATGTTGGAGACTTCAGCAGCTGGGAAGAGTTTAAAACATTCTTACCTGACCACCAACCACAATAGCTCCAAAGAGATGTAACAGGCAACATTTCAGGCTTTCCTTGAGATGTTCACTTTCTTGGAAACATTCTGATTGGAATAAATAAAAAGTAGTAGGATTCCTTATTTTATAATATAAATTATACAAGCCTTTTCTCTCAAACAAAAATAAAAAAGCAGGTAAATAAAACAAGCATCCTTGCTGCTTGCTATCATGCAAGCTTAATACAAAATTTCAACTCTAAAATCTCCACTTTCTTTTATGTAAGTCACATACATTAACATCCATTTCAGAGTTATCAAAGAAACATGACAACCCTGCATTTATCAGGAAGACTGACAGACCCAAGGAGGTACAGCAAATGTACTATGGAATAAATGGGATTAATTTTCATTAGACTGTTCAGAACATGCTAACACAAGCAGTTAGCAGGTATGAGAAATGTTAGAAGACTTTTGACACAGAGACAAATGCCATACACAGTGCAGGTGCCTTAGAAAAGCAGAACTTGCTCCCTATGAACCAAACTTCCCAAGGAAGCCTGTAGTGGCCTGTCATCTTTCTAACAATAAAAAAATACCTTCAAAGATATCTCATAGAATATCTGATATATGGAACTCTTAGGAACACAGCCTGGATATTGTTGCTATAGCAATATCACTAGAATCAAAGCAGCTGCAACTGAAACCACAAAAGGAGTATTTTTTTTTTAATTAGTCACTGTAATTCCATTCAAATATAAGATAAAACTGCTAGAGACTGAGATTTTAAACATTAGAAATTGAAAATGGAAACATTCTGTATTTGTTAAAATAATAGTGTTACCTTTCGGACAATTACCAGTTATTGGCAAGTTGTATTTCTGACTGCATACTGGAAGTATAAGCTCGTTTCAGAAGAAAACTGCACCACTATTTTTAAAACCTGGTGTACAAATTAAACATAGCCTGCCATTTCCCTGACTTAGAGCCTCTGAATCTTTTGTGGAACTTAAGACAAATTCAATAGAGTAGTACCTGGCTGACTGTGGAAAAATTATGAAGCAGAGTAGACAAAAAGTCTTTAGTACTCCTGTGCAAAGTACACCCTTAGCACATGCTCAGCAATTTCTTGTATTGCCAGACGGCCAATCAGCAGATGAGTACCTGCCAGCTAATTAGCACACTAAGGATTGTTTCACTACAAAACAAGGGATTTAGGAGAAAACAGTACAGTGAACTAAATAGAGAGGAGAGATCCTGAAGATGACAATGCTAAAGAGCAGACTTTAGAGTCAGCTTCCAGTTCTCTAGCACAAAGACAAAGGCATTTGGCATTTTACTGACCTCTTTGCCAATGCTTAATGCTAAGAACACAAATTCCCAAGTAGCAGTTAAGACACAGTTTAACCAAAGACAAAAGAGTAGTTCCCTAAACTGCAGTCTAAGTTGACTTTGCTATTTGGATGGCAGCAAGTTTCCTTGTTTGTGGCCACTAAACCATATGAGGAGACAAAAATGCATGCATACTTTCCTCACGATTTTTTCATGCAAGTTATCACTACAGTTGCTGCTACAATGATCTCACATGCAACCCAGATGTGTGTATCAACAAAAATGAATCTTCTTAAATTACAGTAAACACTGAAAGAAAATCTGAGAGAAAAAGAACCAGGCTTTCACAGACAAGTAAGGCTGGCAAGATGGTGACACTCAGAGCAGAAAGCAAGCAAACAAATCAACTCAATACATGCAGCCTCAGAAAACAGTAAGATGTTTTTACATTTATTACACATTCTTTGGGGAATGGAATTTAGAAGTGCCAACTTCACTCCTCCAAAGATGACCATTTTTAAACGTGCTGTTGATAATACTTACGATAAAAGAAAGGGACAAACTCAACAGTGAGGGAAGCCGGTTTATACTTCTGTCTGCTCTTTTCAACTGTACTAAGGATACGTCTGAAATTACATTAGAAAAGATATGACACCTTTGTTTCTGACTTACTACTTCATGATTTCATAACAGAGAACCCTGCCAAAAAATATAAGTTTTGCCTACAAGTTGAAAAAAAAAAAAAAAAAGTATTTCACCTTAAAAAATGAATGACAGATGATAATGACTTTTCTGTTCCACTTATAGAAATGCCTTAATAGTTTAGAACATGGTTTGGTTAAAATAAAATAAAATAAAATGAACCAAAACACCAGCAGCTACCTGGTATTTCCCCATTGTCCTTCCCCATTGCAAGTAAATCATCTACTAAAGTTCTTAACCATGCAATTTGAAATGGCTCAAAACATTATTATGAGTTCATTATGGGAGATAGGGGGAACAAATCAAAGGGAAGTAATTCTGCTGATAGAGTTACAGACTTCTTCTCAAAGACATAACATTTACACTGTGACCTTCAAAAATTTTTTTAACCAATTCAACCACATTTACCTGCCTCTTTTCCTCTGGCTTCTTTGCTATACCAGCTTAGAAAAATAGGGAAGTTTTTGAAAGAAAGCAATGGAAAAAACTTTGTGTCAGTCAGTTACAGCCAAACACCTCCTGGTGCATCCACTTTTTTTTCCTCCAACCTTTAGATTATCAGAAAATATCTTTAAGGTTTTTAAAAATATTTAAATCATATCCAGTTTCAGAAAATATAGCAGCCTCCTAAATAGAATTATACTGATTCATTAACATATTCTGTACCTCCACTGATTGCAGATTCTGTGTTTTTGAGTTTTATGTCGTACCTATGATGCAATGAGATGAGCTGGCATTATGAATGCTACATCTAAAAACAGCTTAGCAGTACTTTGTGAGACCACATACAATACCTGGTTCAATCTGTACTGTGTTCTAAAACAGGGGAATTACACTGCACAGAAATACTGAAAGTTGTGATTCTTACATGTTCCTTAAAACTTTGTGTACAGCAAGTTAAGCTGTTATGGAAACAAGAGTTAGTACTGTCAATGACAGTTCCATAAAACCTGCAATCCATGCAGTGCTGTAGTGTATTACAGGTTGCCAGCTACAAAGAAGCCCCAGCAAACAAGGTATCACCACAACAGATTTCCACTCTGTATGTATGGAGTCAGAAGAGTGACTGGATGCACAAATGCAGCACAGTTGTACAGGATGTAAGCTGTAGAATGGACTGTAAGTTTTACAAGACTAGTTATCTGCATGCACAGATCCAATATTTGGTGCAAGTATTTGGTGCACATCAAAACAGTCCTGATGAAAGTAAAAAACTTACAGAGCAGCTCTGAATGAGAGTGGTAAGGAGCAAACAGCCCTCGTACACACAGCAGAAAAACTTGTTAACTATACTGTACATTTAACATTACTGCAGTGAATTTGGGGCTAATAAGGGAGAATTGTACATGAAAAATTTCATAGGAATCTTGAAGGTCTCTGAAGAGTCAGTTATAATAAAGTGCATCACTAGCAGCCTCAAAGAGTTTGTGCCTAGAATGACAGAAATTAAGTGTGTCAAAAAGCCAGTTTCCTAGCACATACTAGTACTGACAACTCCAGTTGCATTGGGTTTCAGTGTTGAGTATCCATTTCCTGAGTTCTTTTTCCTACCAAAACTAGCGTATTTCATTAACTCTTTAGAATAGAGAATCTTTGAAAAACAACTAGCATACTGTATCTAACCCACTGCCTATGACAACCAACTCTAACACCTGTAAAATGTATCGGGAGCATATCCATGTAATTATATTTTATTTTACTTTGATATCAGTAGTTTTTGTCAGCAACCTTACATATCACTTATCTACAGGTATCAAAACTCACATAGCTTGTGATCCTGTCCTGGTCCACACTTACCCTGCAATTCTCTGCCTCCAGTTGCGATATGGATCATAGAGACTTTCACAAAAAGCCAGTGCATGTCTCACAAATTCTTCTATTGGTGTCTGATCTGCCATTTCCTTCTCTTTTGTTTTGCTTTTTAACTGGGAAAAAAAAAATCCAGAAGTAACAACAGTGATCAAAAGACGCCTAGAAGTTAAAACTTCGTCTTAATCCCCCTCCAAAAGCATTCCCCCACAAACACTTCATTTTGACAGGGATCACAATAAGCAAGACCTGGAGGTCCTCTACGAGGAAAAATAATAGACTAAAGATGAAAACATACCTGTTGAATGTATAACGTAGTCATGGTGATAACGTGATTAATGTATGAACACATCCCAATCTCTTCCACATTAGCCAAATTCCTATGAAAATAACAAAAAAACCACACAGTGTACTGAGGCTTGTTCAAACAATGTCAGTTTTAGTATTCAGTCTATAATCACAGAAAAATGTATAAGCGTTTCAGAAACACTCCCCAGAGGACTGGATGTACTCAAATGTTTATTTCTGCCACAGTAACACAGTACACAAGTTTTCTTTTAAAAGGAAGGAGAAGAAAGGCCTGAGTCACCCTGCTGTAGGTCAACTCTATCTGGAATTTGGTGTTTCAGAGATAAAATAGATTCCCAGGACGCTCTAAATAGAGAGGTCAGAAATGGCATGTGATAACAGAAGCAATAAATTTAATTTCTCCCACATTACTAGAACAAGGAGACTGATACCATAGCTGCATACATTTTCCAATGCTTTAATAAATATATTACCTAGAGGCAGATATGTACTATAAATTCTCCAAATAAGAAACATCACAAATTTTAAACACTAAGCAAATCAACAGTAACAAAAAAGCACACACACTATTTCCCACTTTGAGGACATCACAAAGATCAGATACTAATGTGATCACATAAGGAGAACTGTTTAGCAACTGAGTAAGATAATAGTTGGTAATTCATCACACAACTATCACCATCAATTCAGCTTTATTTAATGTTCTGGAATACTTGAACACTGCACTGCAGACTTGTACTGTTGTAAGGATAAGAAGAACAAAAGGACTCAAAAAAAAGCTTGTTAAATACCTCGCCAAAGGAGAATCCCTACCACATACTTTATTCCCTTATTCATTCAGTGCAGTTTATAATAAAAGAATGAAGAAATAAGGAGGAATAGATCCCTAAAAACAGTTTATTTACCTGCTGTGACAGTATTACAAAATTAAGAGCAAATTTCAGAGGCCAGCTGCATTAACAGAGTAAGTCAGATCCCTATGCTATTTATGGAATTATAAGCATGTTAAGAACGTGAAACAGTTCTTCCTGTATGTTTATCATTCAAGTTCTTTAATATTCAGTGCTTTCTAGAGTGCAACTTCCCTTTAAAAGTATTTCTTATACCACATACACTATGCCTTGAATTCACATAGATATATCTTGCATAATTACAAAATTGTGTCTTTTCCATGAAAAATGGAATAGAAAGAGCAAAGATTGTATGGTTTTCTTCATTTTCCTTTACTTGGAAGACCATGAAAAGTAGCTTTTCTCTGATTCTACTGGAAAGCATCTGTTCACATTGCATAAATGATTAGAATCTAAAGTCTACATTAACAATTTGTTAAACAAAACAACAGCCTTATTGAAGTAGCAAACAGAACAAATACCTGCAAAGGATGATAAAGAACTTCACAAGCAAAAGTGACAAAGCCTGCTGCTGCTCTTCTAATCCATCTGACATTTTCTGGACACACTGCAGCAGCTGGAGCCTCAGGACCTGAAGAATATTGTCAGGAAGCAGTGATATTCCTGGAGGGATGTCATCCACCCTAAAGAGAAGGACCACAGACACACAACTCATAATCATGCAAATGACACATTATCATCTATTTTTAGTGTGCTTCGGTAGTGTTGCAATACACCTGCTTAGAAAAGGTTACGGAAATGCAGCAACTGATTTCTCACAAGCACTTCCTAGTGAACTACAAGAAAATGCTTGCTGGCAATAAGCCAGCATGAACTTTCTTTTCCCCAACAACAATAAAGAACTAAAAAAAAAAGCACCAGGAATACATTAACCAGATTCCTAAATACTCTTCCATTGAGATTACCTGCTTGAATTGCCGCAGAGAAATGGCATGATTTTCAGTAGTAATCAGGTGGCCTGGGAAACTCCTATGAGGATTGACATAGCAGAACGAAACGTGAAACTAAACACAAGGGAACGTTTTCAACTTTTCACTGAAGATTAAAATAAATGAGATGCCAGTAACTAAGTAGACATTGAAGTCCAGTTGGCAGTAATCCACAGCAAACTTCATGCCTTTCTTACACGAACTACTCAAGCTAGCAGAAAATAAGATTAAATACCAAAAGCAACCAGCTCATAGAGCTTAAAGACTTGAAAACCAGGGTCTGAACGTACAGAAGGGGGAGCTCCCAGCAGCTCATTTGACTCCTGGCATACACATTCTGCATGAATGGCTGGCCCAACCCTAATGGTTTCTGCGTGTTGTTAACCCACTACATGATTGGTTTTATCCACCTAGTATCTCACTGTTTTTAGGAGAGGAAAAAAAAGACTTGGGTTGGCATTAAATGCAACAACTCTACCAAGCCTAGATAGGGCACTGAAGAATATTAGGCACTCCTGCATATTATTTTTGTTAAAATTAGGCATTTGTAGAAATACATCAGTGAAAACCAAATGAAGAAAAAAGTCACAAGAGCACAAGGGATTTGGAAAACCTTGACAGAGATTTCATAGAACCTAGGTTCATATAAAGAGACATTAACCAGAAAACTGAGAGCACCTGCTTTTATCCAACACAGCTGTCAAGAAGGCAACATTCATTTCTGAGCAGCTTCATCCCCAAGATTCCAGTGGATTCAAACCCTCTGGAACTACAAGTGTTGTTCACAATAATCTGTGAACTCACCATCTCCATATTAAGAACATAATTTTTGATAGCTGAGGTTGTATATCAGAAGTAACTTGCCCAAACTGGACAACAAGTCTCCTTTTCTGTAAGATCATGAAATGCTTTGTAAGAAAGCAAACAGCCTTCCCCCTCCATGCCTCACGTACCAAAGAGTGTTCTACATGTCTGTGCTATATACAGCTTAAATGCTTTGTGCAAGAAAAACAGAAGAAACACTCATCTTCTGGTATTACTCAAACCAAGCATACTGCAGAGATTAAATAACTGAACTTCTTCCCACCCCACAGCAAATTGCTACTGTATCACTACAAATTTTGATAAGTTTAATATGTAGATGTGTAATGCTGTTTTTTCTTAATGAGACTGGTTGCATAAACTTACTATTCAAAAAGGAAAAAAAAAAATCTCATGTCACAACTGACACTCTTGTTTGCTTGCTGCAACCATACATCAAAAAAAGAGATGTTCACACTTCAGAATCACTGAATCCTTAAGAGTTGTAAGGCATCTCTGAAGGCCATCTACTCCAACTGCCCAACAATGAACAGGGACACCACAGTTACATCAGGTTACCCAGGGTCTGATCCAGTTTTGCTTTGCAAGTCTCCAGCAAGGGGGCATGAAGAACAACCTGGCTGATGGGCAAGAAGTTTCAGTGCCTCACCACACTCACTGTGAAAGATTTTTTCCTTTCATCTAACTTAAGTCTACCTTCTTTGAGCTTGAAACCATTTCTCCTTGTTCTATCACCACAAAACCTGCTAAGGGGTCCATCCCCTTCTTTCCTGTAGGTTGTTCTTTTGGATTCTTTAATTTCTAATATCCTTGCATTACATTAACATGGCTATGCAGCAACAGAAATCGCTAACCCAGGTGGTTAGGTGGTGGAAAGGAACTTGAGTTAGTCTTCACATTGTACTCATTTAATTACAGCTCAAATCAGCAGCACTCTCCCCTCTCCTCCACTAAAGCTGTAAGCAAGTACTTTGGAACAAAAGCTGGTGAAAACCAGGCTTCAATTTTCAGCAACCAGTTTCCAGTAACTGTAATCTGCTTTATTCTGGTGATCTCTGCATCCTTTTCTGTGGGTTTAGAGTCCATACACTAACGCAGTGTGGCATGTGCAGTACTTGACATACGTTTCCTTTAAGCTTCTCTGCTTAACAGCATACAAACCAAAACCAGAAAATAAATCACAACAGTGCAGATAATATTGCTGTTTCTGAAAGTATTAAGTCAAAGAACAGTTTCTTCCATTAGTGATGGGGAAAAAAAGAAAGCCTCCTATGAGCTGGTAAATGTGTAAATACTGCTGAGAGGATTGGGGGTTACTTTTTATTTATTCTAGGTAAAGAATGGACACACATTAGACTTTTGTGCTCACAGCTGTCAGCATAGTTATTTTTTGTGCAGTATCTTCACTTTCTTACAAAAAAAAATCACTGTAATGACCATTAATGAACCATTGCACTTAAATATACAGAAAAAATACATACAGAAGATACACAAAAATATAAGTAAAATTAAATGTTTATATGCTTATAAACTATTTATTACAAAACCCAAATCATTTCACTGGATACACTCATTGCTTCAAGTTTAGAAACTGCCAAGTTCTGTACTACGTAGAAAGTTTTCTATTTCCAAAACATATTTCAGGACGTGTTGTATTTTAATTCAATGAAGAAACACTTATCAATTACATCAGCAAGTGACACTGCCACTTAAGAGTCTTTCTTTCAGAAAAAAAGGCTAATAGTTTCAACTATATTTCTGAAGTATTGTTTTCTTATATGTTATAAAAGTGTCATGTTTTACACTGACATAACTCCAGATCTGTCTTCCAAAAGGTTAACTTTGCCCAGCAATCTGAACGAGCTTCTTTATCCTTATACAGTTGTTCATCATTTCCTGGCACTTGCTGTTCAGTACATAAGGCCTTTCTAGCACTTAGCTCTCAAGCACTCCAACTTTCACATAAGAGAAAAGCAGGCTCACATCAGTCCCCATTCTAGCAATTATGGATGTTCTTAACTACTGTACACTTGACAGAGGGTGAAAGCAATAAAAAAGTACAAAATTCCTTCTATGATTTCCACACTACCTCTGTTCACAAAGGAGAGCAACTTGAGATCATTGGCACAGATGTCAATGGGCAAACTTAATTTCTTCCTAGATGTCTGAGTCCAAGGGGTCCCTTTGGCCTCAAGAGAAGAGACACTGGGAAACAGGTGGCTCCACTCTGACCTACATATTTCTCTTTTGCAGGCTCAATAATATCAGCTCCATAGTGTTAATGCTTGCAATTGAAATGGAGAAATACCAGAAGGATGCCACTTTTGACATGCCTGATTATCTCTCAAATGCCAACAAGGGCAGAAAATGTTTCTATGTTATTTTGATATATTTTCTCTACATCTGTTACACAAATGAGTCTAAATCTGTGCAGGCCTACTCTTCCAGACCAAGTCACTAATCCTGTCATTAACCTCACAAAAACACTGGATTTTTATGCTCACAAACCCATTATTTAATGCAATGAAGATGCTGTCATTGTTCAGCACAGCTAAGCTTCATGTTTGTGCTTAACCTTTTACTATGTTGCTGTAAAAACAGAAACAACAACAACAAAAACAACTCATGAGCACATAAAACAAGAAAAAACAAGGGGTAACAAACTTCTCACTGCTTTTGCTTTCCTGAACTGTGCACTGTAGGATGCATTTTGATATCTCACTACAAAGCAAACATCTTCTGAAAGAAGAATTAACTGGCAGATTTTTGTAGATTTTTCACATTGGTAATTGCACTGTAAACTTTGAATTAGCATAATGGCTAAGAAGAATATCTTAATATAAGTAGATGAGATGTCCTGTTTTCATCCACTGAGATCCAGTTGCAGCATTCTTTGTTTCCTTGTAACAGTGGAGGCTATCACTTACACTTCAAACAGGATCTGATCCAAAGCCCAGCAGAGAATTTCCATTGATTTCAACAGGGCTTGGACGGAAGCATTATGCACAGAGCCATTCTTTCTGGTAGTGGTAGCAGCTATAACTCTGAAACTGGTTCTTGTGAATTCTGCAACACTTGTTTTTTTCTTAATACAAGGATGTATTAAAAAAAAAGATACAGAGCTAAGTTTCTACTCCTCATTTGAAAAGTTAGCCTTAGTGCACAGAAATTTCAACAAATTCTAAATGCTAAATACAGAAATGTGAAATTAGACTTTAATACCCATCTCATGATTATATTTCCATATTTGCAGTCAGCAACGAGTCATTAATACTCCTGTTCCTGAACTTTGAGGTTTATCATTTGTGCGTTTTAATTAAAAACTTTCTAGCTAAAGCATCTAAAAACTTAGATCATTTTATCTCTTTTTCCTCTTATAGCAATCCACAATAAAATTACAAAACTTTACCCACATCTTACTTCTGTTCAGTCACTACTGCTACAGAAACCAAGTATTGATACTAATATTATTTCACCTGCAACATTTAATGAATATTTATTCCAAAAGCTTACAAGATATGATTATACTTCTACGAGGAAAAACAAGTGAATATTGATTTCATCACTGATACAACGCAAATACTGGTATTTGCTTAAGTTTCATAATTCCCAACCCATTTTGACCTTCAGAAGAACAGGAGTGCCACTCAACAATTAAAAAAAACTTTCTTTTGTTTAAAAGCAGTATTGATATTGAAAGAAACTGGGCTCTCGTCCAGGTCTGGTTCAGATATCAAAGGTGAACAGGTCTGTAATTCTACATACCTAGTTGGCAGCTTCTCAAAGTCCACATCCAAAAACTGTTCATAGCTAGAAACAAAACTATCCAACCAAAGCTTCAGGTAATCTGGATCTTTCTGGAAAAAAAAAAAAAAAAAAAAGGAGAAGGGTAAGAGAACATTAAGAAATACAGTGCCTGAGGTCATTAATCAGCAAGTCTGGAGCAGTAACTTGAACAGAAAGCTCTTTCCTTAACACATTTCAGCTGGGAGAAAGGAATGAATAGACTAATTTTTAGAACAGATTTCACAAAGCTCTGTTCTTTGAGCTTCTCAGACATATTGTGCTATGTGATAATCTTGTTCTGCATATCTATTCATTAGTTGGGTGTTTCCATTTACTGGTATCAATGCCAATTGAAGCGTTCTAGCCTACAAACATCCCCTCCCACACCAGTTCCAATAACCTTTATCTCAAGTACATAACTTTACAAAATCACTAGCATATTTTTTTTTAATCGATAGCATAGAATCTAATACATATAATTCCTCATGGCCTTTTACAGTTACTAAGCACAGGGATCCCCTTCTCATATTAGACCATTTTCCCTGCTCCCAAGACCCCTTCAACCCAAGCAAGTATCAGAAAAACAGAATTCACTATCATTATTATATCTAAACTGCATTCAGATACAGTGACAACCTATATAAAGCTGATGCATCTCTTCCATCTGATTTGCTTTTATTATCTTCATTATATTTTCTCACTCTTTTTTCTCCAGATTTTTTCCTCCTTTTTCTTCTTTTCATTCCTAATGTCCTCCTTTTTCATAATCTTCCTTCTCCCCATTCCTGCTTCTATTTCCCTTTCACAATTTTTCCTCAAGTCATCATCCCCTTTCTTTTTCTCTTCAACATTTCCCAAGAAAGGACATTGTGGTCTACAAGCCTGAAGCAAACCTATCCTCAGGTTTACTATGCACCGAACTACTTATCTTAGATGTCCACCTATTAACAGCAATCAAGATGAAATTGCAACATACAGAATTAAGAAAGCTGTTCATATACAGAATAATTTGAAGGTTTCTAAACTATTGGCTTAAGCTACAAAGGTCAACAGATCATCTCAAGTAGGTGGGTACAGAATGCACATTTATCAGTTTCAGAGATCAAACACGTGGAAAAAAACCAGAAGATGGGCAAGAACTACTGCTCACTAATATCCAAACTGAATGGGGCTGGAAGTAACAGTATATGCTGTCCTCATACATCGTTGGCTTTGCCTTAGGAATCACTTATATTCCTACTGTTCAGTGTGCTGAACAGTACTATGGCTTTTTAAAAATATTTGTGTATTTATAGCTGTAACTTCCCTGTAATTCACACAGGTTATTTTAGCCACATGCTTGCTGTTTCACAGGCTTGTAAGGACAATTTAAAATAAGATGCTATTTTGGCAACTACAACATAGCTAAGGCTAGAGAGGACAAGGCAATAGCATCTATGGCAGAGTAACAAACAGAAACTTGGCCACAATCACATACATGCACTTTGCTTAGTTAACAGCCATGATAATACCCATGCATGAGGAAAAAAAGGATCTATTTGACGTTCTTCCTGTTGAAGGAACTGCTTTGATATTCTTGGCATGAGCAAGTTCTCCTTGAAATAGAACATGAATCATTAAAAGGATTCAATTAGTATTCCAAAACTAAAATAGTGTTGACCCAGCTGAGACTCATCTCTAGCTGTTGATAGTAAACTGTTGTAAGAAACTCAGTGGTAAACTGTTGTAAGAAACTCAATGGTATTTGATCAAGAAAAACTAAGGAAGCTGACTGAGGATTGCTCTAGAAAGTATTCTGGATGAAAGAAAAGAGAAGAAAATATTAAATGTCTGCTTGCTCCCTTTCAATAATAGCTGGAGCCTAAATCTACTTCAAGCTTGAGGTTTAAATAAATCTCCTTATCTTTAAACAATAATGCCTTTGCAAAGCTATCAATGAAGACGTGCAGCAGAAGAAAAACTGGCAAGGAAAATACAAAAGAAAGTAAATACATAGATGGCAAAAACAGGACACAGATGATAATAAGAGTGAAAAGTTACTACTGAGCTGCAGTACACACACAGCTCCATTTGCATTACCACTGTAACTCCTCCATATGAGGTAAACATTGCCGTTAGCTCTTGCTTTCTAAACATACAGTCAACTGACAAAAAGCAAGAGCTGCAATACCATTTGACCATTACCTGCAACAGCCTTTAATTCTGCTCCCTTCCACCTCAAACCCCAGCCAGCCAATTGGTTATACATTATTGAGTTATTAAAAGAATCAGCTTTGATAACAAAATGAGATAACTACTGGTATGCAGTAGTAGAAAACAGTTTACACGATAATAGACTCACTTGAGTTCAAAATCTAGAAATTTCTCAAGCAGTAGCATGAACTCAACATCACTTGGAGGAAAGAGAGCAAACAAGGTCATTTAGCAACTGAGTCTACATAAGAAGCATTAAGAAATACATCCCTATTATAGACCATATAAGCTTACTACCATTTCAGAAATGAACACACATACAGACATAAGAGCTAGGAGTAAGTAATCATCCCAAGAAAAAGGTGACCATAGTCAATTGTCTTGCTCCAAGTGAAGATACATAAGCTTTCACAGATACATTAGAAACCAAAGTTAAAAACAGCTTTCAAACTTTGAATCTGGCCCAGGTTTCTGTTTTCCTACATTAGCAGTGACCAGTGGCCGTTGCATGCAGCATGTGGCTGAAAGCCACCAGAAATCTCAGCTTTACTGAAGCACTTTTAAGAAAGCAAACTTACAGTGTAAGTAAATGTTACCTGTGACAAAACAGATAAAAGGATGCCTCCTTCTTACACAGCTAAATAAATACATTTCTGAAGAGCAGCTTGCTTGATTCAAAGCCATCTTACATTTTCCCACATTGAAGCATGATGGATTACAAAACAAAAAAATTTGTTTACATTGCTTTGGTATTTTAATTTTACAAGAAAAACAGATATTAAGGGCACCAGCTACTTCCTGTGCATGATGTAAACCAGCATCTGCACTTGAACACTGTTTCAAGGTCAGCTGCTACCCTTTATTCTGACATTGGAGTTTGATGGGTTTCTTCCCATTTCCCTTTTCAACTATTCTCTTTTCTCATGATAGATGTGGTAAACTTAATTAACAGCAGAATACAAACTGACCTAATTGTTTAATGCCAGACCAACCTTGAGACAGTACATACTACAGCCTCAAAAATGTGCATTACCACACAGCACAGGCTGGAAATAGGCTGGAGAGCAACCAATCACTGAACAGCAACCTCAATTCTCTACAAATTGTTGGACATTTCATTTTCTCCACAGAAGAAAGAAGTGGAATTTTGTCAGGCCACAAAGCATCTTTAATACTCAAAAGCCTTATTATCAGCAAAAGCAGCGAAGCCTGTGCAATACATTCTCTTCATCACTGTTTCCAGATTACCAGTAGCTGTAGGCTGTATATCAGACAGCAGCTCCAAATTATTTTTAGTGGTGCTGTTGAAGATGTACCACACTTTTAAGACACAGCTTACAAATCAACATTCTGATAATGCATCACAAGGACACTGTGATCAACAATGAGTTTGATATCTTTTCCCAACCTCCTCTCTCCACACACACCTGCAGACATGTCCTGGGAGATCAGCAAGGAAGACAGAGGGAAGCTTTTCATTTGTACAACAGCAGTAAATGTAGAAGAGAAGACATAGGTGGTAATAAAACACCTTCCAGAACTCCACAGTCATTATAAAGAAAAGAAAATGTTGGTTCTGGAAATTGTACAGCTTATTAAGTCATAATCCTAAGCACTCCTTTTATTTCCAGAAGCTTGTGTAACTTCTGTGCAAGACAGATTTGTGCATCTTATTTGAATAACAATTCATATATAGAAACTACATGTTTGAAAATTTTGAAAGATGTTTCATCAAGGTTCAAAATTCCCAGAAGCAAAACCCCAACTTAAATTAACCATCTGCCCTCAGGGCAATAAGCTGACACAACCCAAGCTTTAACAGGCAGTCTAATGATGTGGCACTGTGAGGATATATGCAAACCTGGAAGGAAAAACAAATTTCAAAGCCCTTCACCTGAAAATTGTGAAGCAAGTCACAGATACATAGGGCCTGAGCTTAAGCTTCTAAACTCAATGTATTGCAATGAAAACCCGTAAAACTTCAAGGAACAATCATTCATCTGCACTAATGAAAAAAACTGCTTTAAGCCTATTAAATAAGCTGCAGCTCAGAGCACCACAAAGTGAAAACATTTTCTAGTTCCTTCCTTACTTTTTTTTTTTTTTAAACAACCTTTAGGCTTCCATTTGTACACAATTCTCAGAGCACAGTAATAGTCATCAGAGCTCTTTAAAATGAAACACTGCCAGGTACAAGCTCTACTACAATGCGTGCCAACAGGTACAGCAATAAAAGCACACCCAGAAGTGTCAGTTGTGGTTTTTCCATTTGACCAGCACAGCTAGCACTATGCTTGAATGAAGAAGGTTGCTAAATAACATCAGTTGATCTTCTACACTGGTTCTACACTGGATTACACTGTGTAAAACACTGCAGCTAAGCAGTGCCAATCAGCAAGTTTCTTATACGGTCCAACATTTCAACATTTCAATGCACTAGAACTCCAGCAAGCCATCCTTTACCTTGGTATAACTGGGAAATAAGCTTCTAATGCTAATGCCAACTTCTGTGCTCACCAACTGCACCACTTAATGTAGAGAAGGATTTTTCCAACAGCAGATGCAACACTGAGGCAATAAAAATAAATGAAGCTAAGTACAATCAACACTAACATGGGACAGGCTCTTTTCTTTGATACATTAAGTTGCCTACAAATGGCAACAGCACTGCCTGCTCTTTATGAAGACTGATTAAATGAACAACAAAAAAGAAAGCTTCTAATTCAGTCATTTCCCCAGTAACTAGTTTGTCTGGGCAAAAAGGTCAACAGGAAATGGAATTTTTTACATGAGTGAAAACATTTTTTTAAACTCATAATACTCCCTGTAACTCTTATAGCTAAGTCTAAGTTAAATGAATGCATTTTATGCAGAATTG